CGCACTTGACTTTTACTTAAGTTAAATACAGTATTACACTTGTTTTACTTACTTTTCTCGCATTTTAAAACTTAAAATCTACTAAAAGTGACTTAAGTCATAGTTTTGTGCTACTGCGCATGCTCACTTGACTTTAACTTCAATCAAACACACTTTTAACATATTTTACTTACATTTTAACTTCTTTAGTACTTTATACTTACCAAAACTGACTTAAGTCACATTGTCATCCCAATACGCATGCGCAATAGACTTAAACTCACTTTAAGTCAAATTTTTCATTATTTTCTTACTTAAAATCCCAAAAACTTACTTAATTATGATGAATTACCTCTAAAACTCTCCACATTCGCCACAAAACAACATTTCCTCCTTACTCAGAAATCATACGAATACCAAAACCCAATTCCGAAAAACCAAAAACGCCACCAACGTCAAATATTTGTACGCTTTCGTCATCAACGCACACAAACCTTAACCAAACATGTCTCCCAACTGCCAAACAATATTTATCCACGCAAGATTAATGCGTAAAACGTCAAAAACATTTTTTTAAAAAAAAAAAAAAAAAAAAACTCCGCTCGCAGCGCAAGGAAATTGTTATTCTGCGCCGTGGATATTCGTGAATATTGGACTGCGTGTTATCATTGTGTGCGCCGTTATCGTTATCGCGCGCTTATCGGCGTGTTTTCGCCCGTATAACTGCCATGAGTGTTGTTTACTTATCGGCCGGCCGGTTATCGTGTCGCGAGTCGGCGACGACTCAACGACGACGACGACTCCTTGAGGCATAAGCGCGGCTCACCTCAGCGGGCATACATTTTGTAATATAAGTACGTACGCGTGTGTTTTGTAGCGAAAAGCGGTGACAAATCGCAGGCGGGTACGGCTGGTGATATGGTGATAACATGATAAGGTGTTTACCTGGCGGTGGTTGAGTGGATGGGACACTTGAAGTTTAAGAGGCATTAAATGTTTTATATTTTGGAGGAGATATCGAAGTTTTTAGGTTTTTTTTTAGGGGGATTTTGTGTGGTTTAAGTAGAGTGCGCATGCGCAGTATATATTTATATGTTTATGTTTATAATTATGTTTATTATGCTTTTAGACGATGGATTTACACGTAAAAGATGGTTTTGTTGATTATTTCGTTGATATTTTGTGCTAAACTTGATTTAGTGCTACTGCGCATGCGCATAAAGTGTTTTTTAAATAATTTATATATAATTAGTGAGTTTTATTGATAATTCTTTGACTTTTCACCTTAAAATTCATTTAAACATGTTAAATTTATGTTATAATATTGTTTTTGTTATTTTTTCGGCATTTTAAACATTTGAAAATATCTAAAAGTGACTTAAGTCATAGTTTTGTGCTAGTACGCATGCTCACTTGACTTTTACTTAAGTTAAACACAGTATAACACTTGTTTTACTTACTTTTTAGCTTTTTTGAACTTAAAACTAACTAAAAGTGACTTAAGTCATAGTTTAGTGCTACTATGCATGCTCAAATGACTTTGATGCACATAAAATAACATTTTCATTAATATTTTATCTTAAAATCTACTTAAATATGTTAAATTTATTTTATAACAACGTTTTAATCACTTTTCGCTATTTTAAACATCTAAAACTACCTAAAAGTGACTTAAGTCATAGTTTTGTACTATTACGTGCTCACTTGACTTATTTACTTGAGTTAAACACAGTATAACACTTGTTTTACTTACTTTTTAGCTTTTTTTAAACTTAAAACAAACTAAAAGTGACTTAAGTCATAGTTTAATGCTACTACGCATGCTCAAATAACTACAGTAATCAAAAAGCCGCATTTTACAACAAATTTGGCATATTTAAGTGGATTTTATAAATATCTTAATAAATTTTAGCCTGAAACATTATTATTAATAGTTTTTGAACTACTGCGCATGCGCAAATGACTTATTCTATACTCAATATAAAAAATACACAGCAATAGCAATTGCAACTGTTCAACAACTGAACTGAAATCGAAAATAAAAATGAAAATGAAATTGAAAACGAACGCAAATGGACAAAGTGACAGCCAGCGGAACGAAACGAAACGCGAGCTGTAACACAATACAAAACACACCAACACACATACACATACAAATACAACGACTAAGTACATTGAGTACATTGAGTAAATACCAGCCTGCAAGTACTCATAATCGCCAGCAGAGACAGGCAGGCGGAGGGAAGTAGGACAAGTGTAGGACACTCGATGCCATCCGTGCACCAAGCAGCAAATAAACTAATACATAACAATAAACTCAAAAGTCATCGTGAACACCCTGTATACTAACTCGTATGGCGGTGTATGTATACGTATTAAGTTACCAATACGGTAGAAATTTTACAATCGCATCCAATACAAGCATTCGTTTATTTCTTTTTGACGTGATAACGTCTTTAAAATCGTTTTAGTCGGGTGACATGTTCAGAAACTTGTCACGAGGCCTCCGATCGCAGGTATAACGAGAGAGAGAGAGAGAGACGGACCGCTCTCCCGTCTCATCTCGAGCGCTGCCAGTCATTCCGTGAAACTTGACACGCGGAATCCACACGAGCGGAGGCAGGCATAGTGTTCGAGTGAGTGGACCGATCTTCCGTCTCTCTCATTCGTTTTTGTTACAACAATTGCAACAAAAAAAACTTATATCACCAATAAGACGTTATCACGTAAACATCTCGATCGTAAACCTACTTTACAAACAACCATTTTTTTTTCTATTTTTTATATTTTTTAATATTATTGCTGGAGAAATGAATAAATAAATGTATAAATAAATAAAATAGGTGGTTGGCTACTAGTTGCTTGCGGTCGTAAACAAAATCGATTTATTAATGACATACTAATGACATCAGTGACGCCCGACAGTAATGATATTTGTTGGTGTGGTGTTTTTTGCTATTTTTGATCAGTCGGCACTAATGTGTAATTATTCGGGGTTATTTTTAGTTATTTATTATTTATGTGGGTTATATTAAGGTTAATACGCATGCGCAATGATTAATTTATTATAATTCAGTAAGTTTTAATAAAATTTATGATAAAAATGAAGAAAATTAGATTTAAGTTGTGTTTAAGTGTTTTGCGCATGCGTATTAGATGAAAATGTGACTTAAGTCAGTAACTTATGTTAACAAATGTGTCAAATATAAAATTTGATTGATTTTGGTACCAATTTATCGTGAAATATATTTTTATTGTGTTTTTCTGGTTTAGGACCTATTAAATGTGACTTAAGTAATGGTTTTGTGCTTGTACGCATGCACAAAAGACTTAAACTGTTACAAGTTGTAAAACACCATTTTTGTTACTTTTTGTCATTTTTGTGACTTAAGACCTATTAAAGTGACTTAAGTAATAGTTTTCCACTTGTACGCATGCTCAAACGACTTATCCATTAAACAAATATATATTTTGTCATTTTTAACCATTTTTAACCTGAACATTGTTTTAAACAATAATATAACTGACTTAAGTCATAACGTCCTCCTCGTATGCATACAAAACAGCCTTTATACTTTACTTAAGTCAATATATTACCTATTTTCACAAAGAAATGAAGTTTTTTTTACACCAAACTACAAGTTACTTAACTACAAAATGACTTAAACCACAAAATAAGTAACTTACGCATGCGCAATAACAAATATCAACTAAACACAACTTAAACACCAAATAAAACTATCCCAAACTCGTATTTTTATCTCCCTACATTGAATAATTAGTAAATAATGAATTTTTGTAGGTTATCTCTGTATTTTTATCAAATTCGATGTTTTCCAAGTTAATTAAAGCGATTACTCATCCAAACTCGTTAACTTTATTACTTTACTTCACTCCACTACACTTTCATCTATTTGTTTGTCCAGTATCTAGTGTTTACCTTCACATTTGTTTATTTTCTTTAATTTCTTTTCCACTTTTCAATTATTTCACTGTATTAATAATGAATATTGCTCAGGTCGTGGTGTATTAATGACGGTAATCAATGAATCATCAATATTTCCCTCCGTATGCAAATGACAGCCGATTTAAATATGTAATGCGAATGATAAGCATCCCAGCGGCCATTTTGTGTCATTAGGTTATCGAGATACGATCACATTGTGTGATGAGTATCCGCACATGAATTAACCTTTAACCGGATGCGTGATTTCTATTTTTGTTAAGCACAGGAAATTGACTTAACCTAAAATATGTTGAATGAATTGACATAACCTTAACTTTTATTACGATTTTGTCGAAGAGATAAAAAGTTGTACGTTTAGTTGTTTCCTTGTTCACACATAATTTAACACCACTTAAGTTAAGTCGAGTTGTGTTGTCGTTGCACTGCGATGCGCACGCTTTGACTCGGAACTCGAATGTGACTTAAGTCAACATGTGTTATATTAGAGTAGTTGTGTAGACGTATGTTTTTCTGTTTTTGATTTAAGTCATGTTACTTAAGTCAAAGTGACTTAAGTCATGTTGCTTAAGTTGGGTTGACATGCGCTGAGCAGTGAACTCTAAAGTGTAAAAGTTCGCGCATGGCGATGCAATTACCACGCGGGCGCTAATTGCAACGCGTCGATACTAATTGCTTAATCAGATTTCGTCCATCTGTAACGCGCATATTCTAAAGTTAACTCGAAGGCGTTCAACTTTGTTTTATTTATACTCGAGTTGAAAGTAAATTTAATTACCATAAGTGAAAAAATTTGAATTCTGAGATTTTTTGACTTAAAATTTTTGTGTATCTTTTTAAAATTAATTCTTCACATAGAATCAAATATAATTACCATTAGTAAAAAAAATTTGAATTCTGAGACTTTTTTAGACTTAAAATCTTTGTTGGGCAATGTTTTATTAATATTAGACTTAAAATTAAATATAATAACTATAAGTGAAAAAAGTTTGAATTCTGAGACTTTTTTTAGATTTAGAATTTGATGTAGAAAAATTCTATAAAATGTATTTTTCAGTGCCTGATGCATCATGCTGGAGTCCAATTCGGTCAGCAGTCGTCTGCGATGTCCACAAACCAAGTCCTGCACTACCCAACCAATCAGAGCTCCGCCCCTGGAGTGGGCGGAGCTGCGCATCTCAACCATTCCGGCATTTCGTCGATCTCAAGCGTCGTGTCAAACACGACCACGACACATTCACACACCCACCATGATACTGTACGTACCCTCAAAACAAATTAAACTCAGAATTCCCATATAAAATTCTACATCAAATATTTTAGGGTTCAACAGCCTCCTTACGACAATGGCGTAAAAAAGATGACAAGTTCCAGATGGATTCTACATCTACCGAACCACAGGGTCCAATCGCCCGGGTCGCACCACATAACCACAACCCAATCCCCCGTGGTGCGACAGGTATCTCAGAATCGTACCACCACACCCAGAATATGTTCGTCAATCAATACCCAGCATATACCGGTATGGTCCACGAACAAAAAAGCCTATCACAGGTGAAGTATTCTGAGATTGTCGAACCCCACCAACAACAGCACTTGACCCCGGTGATACAGAAACAGATACATTCTACACATCCAACCCAATTGGACACTGCCCAAGTGCAGGTCCAGGTCCAACAGGTTCCTCATCATCTACATGCAGGTGTCCAACCCTCGCATGGTACCACCAGTCAGATAAAGAATTATTCTACAACTGGATATAAGGACTTTAGTGGGATCCACCATACGAAGGAACCACATCTGAATCACCTCAACCATCATTCCCAACATGTACCAGGGGTACCAGGGGTACCAGGTTCTTACATACAGAAAGACTACTACACTCAGAATTACAAACTGGGGCAATACCCAAGGACAATTGGTATGACCAATCAGTACCAGGAATACCTAGGTTTTCCAACTGCGAATTCTGAGATTAGCTCATATCCGTACCCGAATCGCCATGCCAACTTCCGAACTAATTACAGAAGTTACACCACCAATGGACATAATTCTACATTCCCTGGGAATGTTCAGAATTACTTCCCAGGGACTGCGAATACAGGTGGTAGTTCTACTGTGGGAGTGGGGGTACCACCAAGTGGGAAACCCCAGGAGATATACAGAAGTAATTATCCTGCGTATAGACTACCCGCACAGGTCCAGGTCTCTGGTTTTGATCTCAGAAATATTTCTCCGAGGAGGATATACCATGAAGTTCCTCATTACCCTGCACCTAGGGTGTCTCCGAATTGTTACAACCCTCCCACTGCTCAGCATATTGAATATGCTCAGCACTATCAGAATCGGAGAGAGTATACCATACCACAAGTGACCTTGGATAAACCCTACCATCAACACTTACCGAATTTAGAAAGTCATAATCTAGAACATTCTGAAATTGCTCAAGGTACCCAAGGGAAGACCAACAGTGTCCTTAAACATTTTATTGAGGGTTTTAATCCAGAATCCGCAGATGATTCTAAGAGGAATGAACAGGCGGTGTTACAGAATCAGGTTAGCGAAGGTACCGCACCTCCGGAAAGTCTGTATATTCTAGATTCTACAGAAATATCCTCGGAGAATATTGGAGAATATATGCATTTGAAGGTTGATAAGCTACCAGAGAATATCAAAGGTTTTCTGGCTTCTACGTCTGTTATTACATCTCCTCTGAATCTAACACAGGATTCTGTAATTAAAGAATCTGTGTCTTCTGGTAGTACAGTTAATTCTAACAGTGAACCAGTACAAAGTAACATTTCGGTTATTTCTGAGGTTAAAAAGATAGCGAATTCGCCTGTTATGCATTCTGAGTCTACGACTAGTTCGGTAATTGTTTTCGGAGAACACAATTCTAACAAAAGTGAGGTTGATGAGAATAAAAATGTTACGCAACCTGAGAAAGTGGATACTTCTGTGATTAAGACAGCGGGGACTCAGAAAGATTACACAGAATTTCGACAGTTGATTAAAACTCCAACGGAGTCTCCGAAAGTGGAAGAGTTTCAGAGTCCGAGGACTCCTGGGTCTACTTTGGAGGAGATTCCGAAACCTTTGAATAATATTGAGGAGTTTTTGGATGATGTAGAAAATAATGATGGCGAAAATGTGACTGACATGTTTGTCAAACCGCAGTCACCACAAATGTCAAGTGAGAAACCTGTCACTGATGTCACGAATGTCGAAGTGATACAGAAAAATATCTCGGAGGAGGTAGAAAAGATGGCGGAGGATAAGGAAGTAGATACAGAAAATACACCAGATGTAGAAAAAGTTGTTCCTGTTGAAGAAAATATTGTTTCTGAGAATAAATCGGAAGTTGTAGAAAATTTATCTGATACAGAAAAAATTATAGCTGTTGATGGCGATTTTGTTACTCTTAGAATTGCTGGAGAAATTCTAAAGATATCCTTAGTCAAAACCGGAAGTGAACTTCAGAAGAAATCAATTTGTGTTAGTGCATTGACCGATTGTGATGTGACAATTGATAAACAGAATTCTACAACTGAACAGGAAGAAATCACTAAAATTCCAGACGTAGAAAATTCGACAGTTGAAAAAGTCACAGAAAATGTTATGGAAATTCGTACAGAATCTATATCTAATACAGAAGATGAAATTCCTAAGTCCCAAGAAGATATTTCTACAAATTCTGAAGTTGAACCTTCTATTTCTGAAGTTGATTCTAAACCTGAAGAGAAAATAATAGAAAATGTAGATAGTGACATGCCAGAATTACACAATCAGACTGATCCACCAAAAGATACAGAATTAGTGCCTATTGAGAATTCCGAGATGCCTCAACTAGATGCAGAATTATACTCACCGAATTCTCTGGGTGATGTAGAAGCTTTATTGAATGATAACTGTAATGAAATTATCATAGAAGGCGAATGTGATGGAGACGTAGAAAGTGAACCTGATCTTTCTCTATCCGTACTAAATTCGCCAATTACACCCAGCTTACTAGAAGATGGTTATGTTATCTCTGACAGTCCTGAAACACCTATGGAGACTGATGCAGTTGTAGAAAGTGTTGCAGAATTACCATCTGTGACTATTCCAGAAAAACCAATGTTAGAAATCAATTTGGAAGGACTTTCTACATCTGAACTACCGAAATTGAAACAAGTTTTTGTTAAACTTAAAGAATCCGACCGGGAGGAAGTGCGTAAACATTTGACACAGAAAAGAAAGGATGTATTCCAAGTTCAGAAACAGAATCTACAACTGACGAAAAATTTCAGTGCTTTGAAGACGATAGCGAAAAAGAGGAAGAGGATTCAGACTTTGAAAGAATACAAAATGCAAAAAGAGAAAAATTCTGTTACAGAAAATAAACTACAGAAAAATGATAATGGAGATGTAGAAAAAGATAAGGAAAAGTTGATTAAACGTAGAAGTAGCTCCAGTGAAGTTGACGAGAATAAAACCCAAGTTTGGCATATCCGGAGTAAAGATGAACCAACCAAGCGTAAAAGAAATAATTCTGAGTCTTGTAAAGACGCAGAAGATGTCGCGAAAAAGGTTAAATCTGAAACCCACGCAGAAAATCACATGATACCAAAGAAAAAGAACCTAAAGTTAGAAAATCTTTGATTGAGAAACGCAAGGAGCGTTTGAGTTTATTTGACGATTCTACGTCTTCGTCAATAAATTCTACATCTTCAACTGATGACAAGACTAATAAATTACGACAGGAAAAACGAGTTCAACGTACGAAATCAACCGAAAATAAAGATTTATCTAAAATTAAGACACAGAAATCTGAAACTGTAGAAAATTCTGAGACTAATAAAATTAGTCATCGTAGACTCTCAGAAAAACATTCCAAAGATGAACAGGACCAAAGAAAGCAGCATTCCAAAGTGGATTCTAATAAAATCGAAGAAAATATTGAGAATTCCGAGAAAGTTGATAAACTGGAGAAAAGTTTTATTAGCGAAAAACGTAATTTCAGTATATTGGCGAAGGATGAAAAGACCAAGACGAAAATCAAAACACCAAGTGCCAGGAATAAGAAGTTGGAAGCACTTGTAGAATCTTCAATTGTTGTTCAGACTCAGAAAACAGATAAATCTTCAGTTGAAAATTCTGAGTCTAAGTCTTCTGATCCTCCAAAGGATAATACTATTACAGAAAATAGTAAACCCTTAGTGGTTAAAACTAAAGCCCAATTGAAAGAAACACCAACTTCAGAAACAATCACAGAATTACCATCGAAACCAACTTTAGAATTACCAGAAACACCTATTGATGATAATATAACTCCAGAAAGTATAATCGAACCCGAAGAGAGTCCAAAAGTTGATCTGTGTCTAATTCTGAGTCTAAACCAAAGAAAACAAAATCAATTCTAAGTCTAAACTCAGATAGGAAGAAACTCTCGCTAGCTGAATATAAAAAGAAGCGTTCTGATAAACTTCCGGTTCTTGATGAAGAACGCAAACCGGAAGACATTTTGTCATTATCTAAGTCTACTTTGATTTCTGGAATTGGCGCAGATTTCGAAACTTTGTTGGAACGCGCTTTGGACGCTCCGAATTATTCTAAGCTTAACATTCCGGCGATTATCGAGAATATTCCGATGGATGCCATAAGGGCCGAAGAGGTTTCTCCAGTTCAGACTCAGAATCAACCGATTGTGATAGCGTTGACGAGTGATAAGAATGAGAGACCTACGGATCCAAGGTTGAAGCATCATAAAGTACAGAATTATCAGGTTGTCAAATCTGGGACACCAAGTCCCGGAGGTTCCGGGCATATTGGAAGAGGTTTTAATTCTGAGACTCGACGTAGAAGTTGTCCACAAGTTTTAGAAGATCCTAGACTACGACCTGAGTTGAAACGACCAAGTTTGGACATGATTTATGGTAATACAAATTCGGAGAAAAATTCTATGTCTCCTGCAACTTCAGAAAATGAAAAAGAAAAAAGTCCACCTGAGGAATCAACTACAGAATTGTCTAAAAGTAAGTGTTTAGGTTTAAATGATTCAGAATTAAAATTTTATGAATTTTTAGATACAGAATCAGTTGTGGAATCACCACCGAAAGTGGTAGAATTACCTGAAAATGAACCTACAGTAAAAGAAGACGAGAAACAAGTTGAAACTACAGAAAAAGTTATAGAAATAATCCCAGAAAAACAAGTTATAGAAAAGATTCCGAATTCACCACAGTTACCAAAAATACTGAAAGCCAGAAGTAAATCTATGTCCTCGTCATCTGAATCTAGTTCAGAGTCGGATTCTGAGTCTTCATCATCAGATTCTGACTCTTCTTCATCTAATTCTTCTGCATCGTCGTCTTCGCTGTCATCCAAGTTACGAAAACGACTCAGAATGTTACATCAAGAAAAGGAAAAAGAAAAGACTCAGAAAATGGCGGAGTCATCTGCCCAAAGTTCACCTCCAATGGACTTAGATAAAGAAATAGACGACATCTTTGTTATGACGAAGAAAAAGTTTGAAATCCGTCCGCGTAAAACAGGAACAAGCTCAGAATATGAATCTGAGTCTACGAATAATCCTCGTAAACGATTCCTGATTAATCTGGATGAAATCAAGACAAGTTTAGACTTTTCTGAGTCTCCTTCTATGTCTGTGCCTAAACCTAATTTGGGTGTTAAGAAGATAAAGTTCATTATAGATCCAGACGATTTTAACCTGGACGATAGAGAATTTGATACAGAAAGTGATTCTGTCAGTCAACCTCAGAATTCCACGAAATTGAAAAACATAATTGATTTGAATGAATTATTACCGAGTCGGGAAGTGGACCAAAGTCAGAAATATGATCCAGAAGATACTTTTAGAGAATCTATCTCAGATTCTGAGTCTATGACCTTTAGAAAAGTTGATGAAGAGAAATATGACAGAATTGATGAAAGGGATATTGATAGGTTTATCAACAAGGAACCACCTTCGGAAAGTGTTTCAAATTCTAAGTCTGAAGATATTTTTCAAGATGACGAAGTAATTACAGAATCTAAGCAAATTAATTTTGTGGATCCCGAAAGAAACCTTCAAGACTTTGATGATAGTAGTATATCCAAAGATGAAACCAGAACAATTCTATGTCTCGATAATTCCTCGGAGAAAGATAATGAACTTCAGAGAAATGATACAGAATTGAAAATAACTGATGACGAGAATACTTCTTTGTGTAAGTAAGGCAACTTGTGTATCTACTCTTTACTGCTTCTTCTGTTTCGTCTTTGTGTTTGTTTTCTGTGTCTAACATAGTTTAAGTTTTCTGTAAATAAAACATGTGTTCGTCAGAAGGTTGTAAATGCAAATTTTAAGTTTTTGATTGCAGGTGATAATAAAAATGAAAATGATGGCGAAAAAGATGAAGAATTGTCAGAAAATATAAAAATGGCGGATGTAGAAACTATGGAAGTGGATAAAAAGGAGGAAGAAATTGTTGTAGAGATGAAATGTGAGGAAAACTTGGAGGGAAAAGATGAAGAAAATATTAATTCTGAGTCTATTTCGGAGAAAATTGGAAACTTAGAAAAGAGTGACACAGAATTAAAAGAAGAAGAAAAAACAGTTATGGAAGTAACCGAAGATATTTTTATAGAGAAAGACATAGAATCAACTTCAGAAAGTACAGAAATGGAGACAAATTCTGAGAGTATTGTAGAAAATACTGAAGTGGTTACAGAAAATACAGATTCTATGTCTACTTATGACCAAACCGATGAAGTGCCTAAACTGGACTCAGAAACTGAATCAAAACTAGATATAGATTCGGAGACACCGAAAATTGACTTAGAAAATTCATCTGATGACGTAGAAACGTCTAAAGATGTAAAAGAAGAAAGTGTTGATGATTCTAAGACAGTTTCTGAAGAAACTATTAATTCTGAGTCGATTAATGTGGTTGAAGATCAGTCTCAGAATATGACTTCAACTTTAGAAAATCCCAAAATGGATGTAACTATACAGGGTGACGATTTACCAATGAATTTATCCATCAACAATCATCTACATCAAAATTCTACAACTGATGGAGAAATCGTAGATGGCGAAAAAGTGTTGGACTTGATAAAGACAACCAAAATTAGTGATACGTCTAGTTCAAATGTTAATGTAAATAATAATTTTATACATAATATTAATGTTACAGAAAACGATTGCGAAAAGTTGCAGAATCTAGAGTTACCAAAAAACAATAATACAATTACAGAATACAAAGACGATTTTAATCAATCTGTATCAACGGCAGCTAATCAGGACCAATCTACAACTACAGATAATTTAACATGTGATGTTCCTAAAAATTCTGTAACTAAAAACATTTGTGATACCGCGAGTGCGACACCATTTTCTAGCGAACTCCTCGAGTACAAACCAAACGGTGTGCCTAATACAGATTCTACATCTACATTTTCTACGTCTCATTCTACGTCTATAGCCGATGAAGATATATCCTGTACAGTTGAGGAGACCAAAGTGACTATTCGTAATCTCCGAAAAGGGACCAAGAAGACTACGAAACAGAAATCACCACCGCAAGAAATTCTAGACTTAGAATCTGACAAGAAAAAATCCATAGAAGATATTTCGAAACGTTTACAGGAAACACAAAATTCTACAACTACGAATAACCAATTGGAGAATTCTCAGAATTACAGAATTTCTGAGTCTACATTACCAGTTGGTTTTAATTTGAATAACTGGAATGGTTTGAATCTAAACTATACGAATTTCGGATCGTTTCAGAATTTTCAGTTTCCGAATTCTGAGAATCTAGAACTATGGAATAAATGGCAACAGTTACAACAATACTATCAACAGATGTATTTTCTACAACAGAATCAATTTCTACAACAACAACAACAAGCATCCAACTCACAACAGTCTCAGAATTTGATGGAGAAACAATATGGCGTGTTGAGTAACGACGATCTCAAGATGAAACTACACCGAATTCAACCAGAATTGTTATCAGATTGTTGATAAAATGCATTGATAACAGACGAGGTGGCCGAGTGGTTAAGGCGTTGGACTGCTAATCCAATGGGCTCTGCCCGCGTGAGTTCGAATCTCATCCTCGTCGAAATTGTGGTTTTGAAGGTGAAAATATTGTGTTCGTCACAGTCATTCGCCTCAATTTTCATTCCTAGCTTTTAGCTGCGTAGAATATGAGTAGAAACCTTTGAATAGGATCTTTATTGGAATTTAATGTGTTTTAGTAGTGATTATTGTGTTTTTTAATTTGGGGGCCACAGTCAAGGGCCTCACTTCGATGTTTTTACAGTATTTTGATATCTCAATTGCTTAAAAATCAATTTTTGGGATATAAATTTGTGTTTTATCTAGTGATAATTCAATCTGGTTTAAATTTGGTTTAATATTATGCTCAGCCACAGTCATTCGCCTCATTTTAATATTATTGATTATTTTGATTGTTTTCAGTGTTTCAAGTGTTTTGTTACGTGAGTTTGTGTTGATTATGAGTTGGTTAATGTATTTTTTTTCTGTTTTTTTGAGATTAATTGTTATCAGATTGTTGATAAAATGCATTGATAACAGACGAGGTGGCCGAGTGGTTAAGGCGTTGGACTGCTAATCCAATGGGCTCTGCCCGCGTGAGTTCGAATCTCATCCTCGTCGGAATCATTGTTTTTGAGGGGAGAATATTGTGTTCACCACAGTCATTCGCCTCAATTTTAATTCCTAGCTTTTAGCTGCGTAGAATATGAGTAGAAACCTTTGAATAGGATCTTTATTGGAATTTAATGTGTTTTAGTAGTGATTATTGTGTTTTTTAATTTGGGGGCCACAGTCAAGGGCCTCACTTCGATGTTTTTACAGTATTTTGATATCTCAATTGCTTAAAAATCAATTTTTGGGATATAAATTTGTGTTTTATCTAGTGATAATTCAATCTGGTTTAAATTTGGTTTAATATTATGCTCAGCCACAGTCATTCGCCTCATAATTCTATTTGTTAATGATTTCTGGACCACAATAATTTAAAAAGTGCTTTTTGCTACAAAAATTACTGTTTTATGACGTGAATTGTTATTGCAGGTGTTTAATTGTTTATGCAAATGAATTCTTATCATTTTTATCATCTTTTTACGCTGATAACAAGACGAGGTGGCCGAGTGGTTAAGGCGTTGGACTGCTAATCCAATGGGTTCTACCCGCGTGAGTTCGAATCTCATCCTCGTCGAAAACATTGTTTTTGGGGTGAAAATAGTGTATTCACCACAGTCATTTGCCTCAAAGTAAGTTCCTAGCCTTTAACTGTGCAGGAAATGAGTAAAATCAACTATATCATCAATTTTATCGTTATTTTACTTATTTCAATGATAATTATAATAGTTTTTCACTTTGGGCCACAGTCATACGCCTCCCAATACTATTTATTAACGATTTCTAGGCCACAGTCATTCAAAACTTGTTTTTGCTATAAAAATTACTGTTTTATAGCGAATGTATTCATTTATTTGGTGTAAATTGTTATTGCAGGTGTTTAATTGTTTATGCAAATGAATTCTTATCATTTTTAACATCTTTTAGCACTGATAACAAGACGAGGTGGCCGAGTGGTTAAGGCGTTGGACTGCTAATCCAATGGGTTCTACCCGCGTGAGTTCGAATCTCATCCTCGTCGAGAACATTGTTTTTTGGGTGAAAATAGTGTATTCGCCACAGTCATTCGCCTCACATTAAGCTCCTATCACGTATCATTACATGATCTGAGTAAATTCTTCCATATCATCATTTTTACTTTCAATTATACATATTTTATTGATATTTATTGTAGTTTTCAACTTTGGGCACAGTCATTCGCCTCATAATACCGTTTGCTACTGATTTCTAGGCCACAGTCATTCAGAAGTGATTTTTGCAACAAAAATGATTGTTTTATCGAGAGTATATAAATGCACTTGGTGTGAATTGTTAATACAGGTGTTTAATTGTTTATGCAAATGAATTCTTATCATTTTTTATATCTTTTTGCACTGATAACAAGACGAGGTGGCCGAGTGGTTAAGGCGTTGGACTGCTAATCCAATGGGCTCTGCCCGCGTGGGTTCGAATCCCATCCTCGTCGTCCAATCCTTTTTACCATCCACAGTCACTCGCCTCAATCATAATACCATCAATTACACCTTCTATTATAACTAAATAATCATTATCTAGTGGTTTTAAGTGTTTTTACGATCATTTTCATACAAAATCACAAAATTTCCAATATATAGCCACCACAGTCATTCACCTCATTCCTCATTGAACACCAACGACCTCAGTCACTCCCTAAGGCTATAATATCGTAAAATAAGCAATAAATTAATTAAGTACAATGTTTATTTGACTTCGACGTGATATGTGATGATGCGTCGCCTATCACATTATTTATCATCATTTATTTATTGTTGTTCACCTTACTTTCAATTTGTTTATAATTTATTTAATATTATTATGTATTTAATATAATTGTGGTTATGTGGTTTAATAATTGGCGGGAAGCATGACGAGGTGGCCGAGTGGTTAAGGCGTTGGACTGCTAATCCAATGGGCTCTGCCCGCGTGAGTTCGAATCTCATCCTCGTCGAAAGTTCCATAAATTTTATTGTTAACAGTAATAATAATAATAATAATAATATATTATGCACACGGAAACTACATTCAATCAACAAACTCAATGTAATACTAGTACTGCACTTAATTAAATCATCAAACAATAAAATAAAATAAAATTTTACACCAAGGCAGTAAATAATGCATTAAAATGCAAATAAAATACAATTTTATATGCAAAACACACAAAACAATAAAATAATTATCTTAAAACTCTCTATAGACAATAAAAACCTATAAAATCCTATAAAATCCTATCAAAAATTGATAACAATAAGATTTAGTTGTATAATCAATCGATTTATATCGATTAATAAAAATCATGATAACAATAATGACATCTCAATTGTTTTACAACTTAAAACTCTCAACATACGACGTATTATCACGTGATTAAACTGAATAATAGAATAAGTTAATATTTTAATTTTCACTCAAAGTGTAACACACAATATTTTAATGTCTACGAGTATACTATTCACCCATGAATAGAAAACTAGTATATTAGTGGAAAAATACCTGACTACCTAGGAAGACAACAAAGAATACACAATCCACAATCTACGCAGCTGTGGGTCGGTATGTCGGTCGGTGAGCGCAAGAAAATCAATAAATGGCGGCGCGTTACACCGACTGCCAGGCGGTAACCATCCCAACACACAACCACAACTATATACTACCCAACACACACATACAAAACATCCAACTATTAATAAAAACACGAATTTAAACATTTTAAACCTAAACACATAATATTAATTTATATTTTGATATAAATTAGTTTATTCATGTGTTTACTGAGTGTTATTATGTATAAACAGTGTTTTTATTGTTTTGTTTTGTTGTGTTTTGATTTGACAGATTATGACTTGACGCTTTTATTCATGCTACTCATAGGCAACCAAGCTTACTCATGCGCTCGTCATGCACACGCCGTGTTCAGTTCGCGTTCGACTGCGTAACTAGTTGGATGTGTTCGGCAGCCGGGAGGAAAATACAAATAAAAATAACTTTATTTTGATTCCATTGTTCTGTACTCGCATATAATCGCATTGAAACGTGTTTAACTTAAATTTAAATAAGGTGCCAGTGATTGCTACGTGACTTAAGTGTAATCATGCATTTTCAATGTTAAAGTAAGTAAAATATTATAATTTATATTCATTTTTGGATAAGAAAACAAAGAAATTTAAAATAAAGTTCATTAAAAAGCCAAAATAATGAAATAATTTATATTTTTAAGGAAATTTTAGTTTACTATTATTATTATTATTAGTTTTATTGTAGTTGATGTTTATTTTTGGCCTTTTTGGCACATGTTTCATTTTGGTGTTTTGTGCGTGCAAGTCGCGTGTATTCGTACGAAATTAAAATCGAAAACGAATTGTTGAGTAATAGCGGCCAAGTTCGTGTGTCAAGGATGTATTTATTCGTATATGCGAGTACATGTGATGCAAATATGACCATTAATATGAACATCATAAATCGTAATTCGACGAAAATTTCATATTCAAATCGCTCGCAGTAACAAAACATGAAAAATTGATTATGTAAGCTTAGTAACTATTATAATTATCTACTAGACTGTCCACCAGACCATTAGAAATGCTAGAATGATGATTTCGTCATTTATTTCATCATTATTCGCAATATTTATCTGGATTTTTAATTGTAGAATGTGTAATTGTATTTCTTTGAGTTTTGGGTTAAAAGTTTTGAATTTAAATTGCTTGTAACTTTTTTGTTATTAAGTTAGAAAATTTATTTAACGTTTATTTGATTTGGTATTTTATTGGCTGTTTAATGAGATTTTAAACGTTTTTCTATGATTTCTTATTAATTTTTAATTGAATTTTTTCTTAAAAGTTGCAATTGAAAAGTTTGTTTTTTGTTTGGTGGACTTTAACACCCTGTAAGTTTTGTTTAAGTTATTTTTCACACAAAATAATAACTTTAGTGCATTCCTTGACTCATTGTTTATAAATTAAGAGGTTTGCCACTTTAATCTGACTTATAGATAAGTCACAATTTGACTTTGAAGAAAAAAAATGCAGTGTCACTTTTGTATTACAACTGTTCTAGTAATTCACATTTAATGGATAACTTTGAATGCGTCTGGAATTTTTTCTAGTTACGCTACAAAAAATCTAAATACTTCGTTAGATTCTTGAGATTATTATCTATCAGATAAGGTATTAACATCTGCTTAATTATTTTTAATTAACGTAAAAATTGAAATTTAAAAAAATATTTGTTTTACCGGAATTTATTTTTCATTATCAACTTTAAGACCCTGTAGAATTTGTTTAAATTATTATATTTGAAAACAACAAAGTTAAGTGTATTCTGTGACTCATTATTTATTAAATAAAGCTTTGATCACTTCAATCTGACTTATAGTTAAGTCACAATTTGATTTTTAAGAAAAAAATGCAATGTCTCAAATGTATGACAACTATTCTAGTAATTTCCATTCAATAAATAACTTTGAATGCGTCTGGAATTTTTTCTAGTTATGCTACAAAAAATCTAAATACTTCATTAGATTCTTTAGTTCATTATCTATCAGACAAGACTTTAAAATCATAATTATCACTTTTAATTAACCCACAAATTAACTTTATACAAAAATACTCATTTTGCCACTTAAAATTTCAATCATCAACTTTAACACCTTGTAAAATTTGTTTAAATCATTATTTTTCAAAACACCAAACTTCAATCCATTCCTCAACTAATTATTAACAAAATAAAACTTTCCCCACCAAAATCCCCCTTATAGTTTACCCACAAATCAATTAAAACCAAAGATTTTCATATTTCAATGACGTAACGCAAACTTCAATTATGTATTACAGAAACTGCTGAGTCATTAATGTCACACAAGTGTCACCGAATCGCCTGAAATGCAACACGGGCCTCTCACGCGACAATTTTATCAACACCATAATCATGGATCCAATCAGGTACGCAAAAATTGATCATAATCAGGTTAAATCCAGTTTAAAATGATTAAAATTACCAAAATCATCGGAATTTCAACGGAAATTGCACTAATTATTTACTAATCGTGGGTTTTACAACATTTTAATCGTTTGTATTGTTTGCATGTGTTTCAGTGCGAGCTGTTACAGTCTACAGTGAGTATAATAACATTTTTTTTATTTTTTATTATAAATAAAATGGGAATGAAATTAAATTTGAATGGGAAATAGTGCGAATAGTGCAAGATTGAAGTGTTTATTGCATATTGCACAATGTTTATTGCTAGAGTAGTATTGCAAGTTGAGTAATAAATAAAATCGAGTTGTTTGTTACGCAATTTGCAATAGAATAAGGAAATGAGAGAAAATTCAACCTAGATACAAAGTGCAGTATGAGTATAAATAGAAAATGTGAAAAAGTATTAGATGTTTATGTTTTAAATAGTATTTTATGTTTAAAGTATGCGTTGGTAGATGGCGTTAGTTAGTAAATAGTAGAATAGATTGTATGATGCAATGAGAAGTTTTCAAGGTTAAATTCGTATTTGTTAGGCGTCACTAAATTGACAATGAGTTATTGAGTTATATCTTAATTTAGTGTTTTAAATGTTTTAGTATGAAAGACCGACTAAAAGTTATAGGGTGTTCAAGTTAAGAATAGGTTTTGTCACTTGAAAGTTTTGATTTTTGGATTTTTTTTTCGAATTTAAATTGTGAGAGAACCAAAAATTTTACAAACATGGTTTGAGCGTCATTAGATTGACAATGAGTTATATAATTGTTTAGTGTATGAAATATTTTAGTTAAAAAGGCCGATTACTAGTTACAGGGTGTTGAAGTTGAGTATGTCATTTATTTCAGTAAAAGTACACATTTTTGAAAACATTTTTCGAATTCAAATTGTGGGTGAATGGATAATTTATTTTATTTAATAGATATTGAGTTCTATAATAGAATAGCGTTTGAATTGTGTGAGTTAAAAAGACAGTTTAAAAGTTACAGGGTGTTAAAGTTGAACGTGACATTTATTCCTTAAAAATTTTAGTTTTATGCAAAAGAAGTTCAAATTTGAATTATGAGTGAACGGATAATTTTATAAACATGAATTGAGTTTTATTTGATAGATAATGAGCCAAATAATAGATTAGTACTATGAAATTTTGGATAAAAAAAACAGAATGGTTGTTTGTAAAGTAGGTTTACGATCGAGATGTTTACGTGATAACGTCTTATTGGTGATATAAGTTTTTTTTGTTGCAATTGTTGTAACACTTCACTTGCACTTGCTTGTTTTTGGTTTTTTGATAGTAATTATAATTATTATGTATTTTTTATAAATATAAAGATATTTATTGATTAAAATTACAACGTGATTTTTTTTTGGATTTACAGGTTTTTTTGTTGAGTTTAACATGTTTCGCCCAGAGGGCATCTTCATAAACTGTTAAACATGTTAAAACATGTTAAACTCAACAAAAAACCTGTAAATCCAAAAATCACGTTGTAATTTTAATCAATAACTCGTCATGCACACGCCGTGTTCAGTTCGCGTTCGACTGCGTAACTAGTTGGATGTGTTCGGCAGCCGGGAGGAAAATACAAATAAAAATAACTTTATTTTGATTCCATTGTTCTGTACTGGCATATAATCGCATTGAAACGTGTTTAACTTAAATTTAAATAAGGTGCCAGTGATTGCTACGTGACTTAAGTGTAATCATGCATTTTCAATGTTAAAGTAAGTAAAATATTATAATTTATTTTCATTTTTCGATAAGAAAACAAAAGAAATTTAAAATTAAAAAAATTAAAAGTCATAATAATTAAATTATTTATATTTTTAATGAAGTTTTAGTTTATTATTATTATTATTATTAGTTTTATTGTAGTTGATGTTTATTTTTGGCCTTTTTGGCACATGTTTCATTTTGGTGTTTTGTGCGTGCAAGTCGCGTGTATTCGTACGAAATTAAAATCGAAAACGAATTGTTGAGTAATAGCGGCCAAGTTCGTGTGTCAAGGATGTATTTATTCGAGTATGTGAGTACATGTGATGCAAATATGACCATTAATATGAACATCATAAATCGTAATTCGACGAAAATTTAATATTCGAACTGCGCGCAGGCATGAAACATGAAAAATTGATTATGTAAGCTTGGTAACTATTGTAATTATCTACTAGACTGTCCACCAGACCATTAGATATACTAGAAATTGATTTCGTCATTTATTTCATCATTATTTGCAATATTTATCTGGATTTTTAATTGTAGAATGTGTAATTATATTTCTTTGAGTTTTGTGAATTAAGTTTTGAATTTAACTTGCTTGTAACTTTTTTTGTTATTAATTTAGAAAATTTATTTAAAGTTTATTTGATTCGGTATTTTATTGGCTGTTTAATGAGATTTTAAACAATTTTCTATCATTTATCGTTAATTTTTAATTGAATTTTTTCTTAAAAGTTTCAATGGAAAATTTTGTTTTTTGTTTAATGAGTTTTGACACCCTGTAAGTTTTGTTTAAGTTATTTTATAAACAAAATAATAACTTTAGTGCATTCCTTGACTCATTGTTTATAAATTAAGAGGTTTGCTACTTTAATCTGACTTATAGTTAAGTCACAATTTGACTTTAAAGAAAAAACGTGCATTGTCACTTATGTATTACAACTGTTCTATTCATTCACATTTCATAGCGAACTTTGAATGCCTCTGGAATTTTTTCTAGTTACGTTACAAAAAAACTAAATACTACGTTAGATTCTTGAGTTTATTATCTATCAGATAAGGTATTAACATCTGCTTAATTATTTTTAATTAACGTAAAAATTGAATTTTTAAAAAAATATTTCCTTTACCGAAATTTATTTTTCATTATCAACTTTAAGACCCTGTAAAATTTGTTTAAATTATTATTTTTAAAAACAACAAACTTTATTATATTCTTTGACTCATTATTTATAAAATAAGACTTTGATCACTTCAATCGGACTTATAGTTTAGTCACAATTTGATTTTTAAGAAAAAATTGCAAAGTCACAAATGTATCACAACTATTCTAGTAATTTCCATTCAATAGAGAACTTTGAATGCTTCTGGAATTTTTTCTAGTTACGCTACAAAAAATCTAAATACTTCATTAGATTCTTGAGTTTATTATCTACCTGATAAGACTATAACATCTTAATTATCACTTTTAATTAACCCACAAATTAACTTTAAACTAAAAAATCATTTATCCACTCAAAATTTCAATCATCAACTTTAACACCCTGTAAAATTGGTTTAAATCATTATTTTCAAAAACAACAAATTATAATCCATTCCCAAACTAATAATTTACAAAATAAAACTTTCCCCATCCAAATCCCCCTTATACTTTACCCACAAATCAATTAAAACCAAACATTTTCATATTTCAATGACGTAACTCAAACTTCAATTATGTATTACAGAAACTGCTGAGTCATTAATGTCACACAAGTGTCACCGAATCGCCTGAAATGCAACACGAGCCTCTCACGCGACATTAAAGTACAAATTGCAAATCGCCAGACAATCTACAATCCGTTCTCGAATAACTGGAATTTTATCTACACCATAATCATGGATCCAATCAGGTACGCAAAAATTGATCATAATCAGGTTAAATCCAGTTTAAAATGATTAAAATTACCAAAATCATTGGAATTCCACCGGAAATTGCACTAATTATTTACTAATCGTGGGTTTTACAACATTTTAATCGTTTGTATTGTTTGCATGTGTTTCAGTGCGAGCTGTTACAGTCTACAGTGAGTATAATAACAATTTTTTATTATTTAAATGAATAAAATTGGAATGAAATTAAATTTGAATGGGAAATAGTGCGAATAGTGCAAGATTGAAGTGTTTATTGCATATTGCACAATGTTTATTGCTAGAGTAGTATTGCAAGTTGAGTAATAAATAAAATCGAGTTGTTTGTTACGCAATTTGCAATAGAATAAGGAAATGAGAGAAAATTCAACCTAGATACAAAGTGCAGAATAAATAAAAATAGAAAAAGTAGAAAAATAGGTAGATATTTATATTTTAAATTGTATTTAATGTTTGAGATGTTTGTTGGTAGATGGCGCTAGTTACTAAATAGTAAAATAGGTTATATGATGCTCTGAATAATGTTTCAAGGTTAAAATGGTATTTGTTAGGCGTCACTAAATTGACAATGAGTTATATCTATATTTAGTGTTTTATATATTTTAGTATAAATGACCACTAAAAGTTACAGGGTGTTTAAGTTAAGAACTAGAATTGTTGCTTGAAATTTTTAATTTTGTGTATTTTTTTTGAATTTAAATTGTGGGAGAACCAAAAATTTTATGAACATTGTTTAGGCGTGTGGGGATCATTACCCAACGCTTATTCTAATTCTATTCTATCTATCTATTCTAATTTTCTTCATCTATATTGCATGCACTCTATAACTTTCTTCATCTATATTGCATGCCATAATTCTTCGTATAAAATTCCCAAAATTCTAATTACTTTTATTACCCTTGAAAAACCTAATCCCAGAGTCGGACGGTTTGGCACGCTGTATCTAGCGTGCGGTCAGTAACAGATGGTCCGGCTCGGATTCCCAAAATCCGATGGTCAACTTTCCCTCTCTTCAATGTCACAGACTTTCTTCTACCAATCAAATCTATCGCTTTCTTCCTACTTCCAAATTTCTTGTCACCACCCATCAACCTGAAGGGTTGCTGGTGAGTGACAAGGGTTTAGAAGGTCAGTTATTCTACACATTTCACAAGCGACACTTCTACAGTTATTCCACACACTTCAAACTCTACAGTTCTACTAACTTCACTTCTCTTCATACTTCTTAATAAACATTGTTCGTGATAATTAAACATCGTGTCTTTTACTCACTCATCAATTATAACATTTGCACTCACTCACCGATCCCAGGCGTCATTAGATTGATAATGAGTTATATAATAGATTAGTGTTTGACATATTTTAGTTAAAAAGACCGATTAATAGTTACAGAGTGTTAAAGTTGAGTATGTCATTTATTCCATTAAAAGTACACTTTTTGAAAATATTTTTCGAATTCAAATTGTGGGTGAATGGATAATTTTACCAATGTTATTTAAACGTTATTTAATAGATAATGAGTTCTATAATAGAATAGCGTTTGAATTATTCTATTTAAAAGGCCGATTAAAAGTTACAGGATGTTAAATTTGAACGTGACATTTATTCCGTAAAATTTCAGTTTTATGCAAAAAGTTCAAATTTAAATTATGAGGGAACCGATAATTTTATAATCATAAATTAAATTTTATTTTATAGATAATAAGCCAAATAATAGATTAGTACTATGAAATTTTTGATTAAAAGGGGAATAACAATTACAGAGTGTTAAAATTACTCATAAATCCTTCATATTGGAATACTCATAATTCAAATATGTGCAATATTTTTCAAACTCAAATTATGCTTAAACAAAAAAATTACAAACTTGATTTTAGGCTTATTTGATAGCCAATGAGTCAAATAATAGAATAACATATTAATTATTTTGGTCAAAAAGCACAATTTAAGTTACAGGGTGTCAAAGTTAAACAAACCAGTTTTTCTCACTTTCTTATATTTTTGTAATTTCTTTTTCAAACTCAAATTGTGAATGAACGGATAATTTCATCAACATGAAATAAAGTTGATTAGAAAGATAATACGTCATATAATTGATTAGAGTTGTTTCCGTTTCAGTAAAAAAGGCAAAATAAAAGATACAGAGTGTTTAACTTCAACATTAAACTAGTAAAATCAATTTATTTTTCCTGCAAGTTATTTCTTTAAAACTAAAATTACCAATAAAACCAAGCATTTGATTAATACAATCAATATCTCAACAAATACTCGTATTTACCAGTATTAACTGGTAGATGGCGCTACTTTCAAAACTCTAAAATAGATTGTAGAATGCACAAAAATGAAAGGAAAGATTTTCAAGGTTAAATTCGTGCTTCATTCGTAATTGATTCGTGTCGTTTGTTTAAATGTTGAATGTTTAACTGTTTGATTTGGCAAGCGTGTGCAAGTGCTCGTAATTTAATTAAGACTATGCACGAGCATGCAAGAGATGCGTCAATGCGACTGCGGCGGAATAATTGATCAAACAAATAAATTTTTCCTATTTGATTCTATTCTCCGTTTTGGATGGCAACAATTCGATACATGAGACAATAAACCAAACTAAACGTGACCCAAATACATTAATAGAAATGTGATGCACGCGATATTTTTATTATTTCAAATGGGTTTAAATATGTTTTAATTTTTTAATTAGTTATCACTTGCTGACATGCGAATTGATATAAATAGAAATAATTTTAGTTTTACTTTTTTGTTTGATTTTGATAGTAATTATAATTATTATGTAATATATTGATTTGTGTTGTGTGTTGTTTAGTTATTGGATTTAGTTATGTATGATTTGTGGCAGCACGCGAAGGTTGAATCGTTTATAATATTGTGTGTGTGTATGGTATTTTTACTCGGTCATTAACCACTAATTATGGTGGTTATGAATTAATTGTGTTTTTACTAATAGAATGAAACATAGGGAAATGTTTTTGTTTTGTTTTGATTGATTGATTTTTATTTTTGTTGTGGAGTTTAACACTCTGTAGATTTTGTTATATTTATTTTAGAGAAAAAATGTAAAATGTATTTTATTCTTTGATTCATTATCTATCTGATAAGATAATAATCGTTTTTATTGAATATTTGGTTCATTTGTAATTTTTGTTTAAAGAAGTAATTACAGGAATGATAAATTGGTTTTTACGAATTTAATGTTGAGTTTTAACACTCTGTATCTTTCTTACTGCCTTTTTTATTGCAATGGGAATAACCCTAATTTATTATATGACGTATTATCTTTCTAATCAATTTTACTTCATGTTTGTAAAATTATCCGTTCAATCACAATTTGAGTTTGAAAAACAAGTTACAAAAAAATACAAGAAAGTGAGACAAATTTGTTGGTTTAACTTTGACACTCTGTAACTTGAATTCTGCCTTTTTGATTAAAACAAATAAAAAATAAATCTATTATTTGACTTATTGGCTATCTACTAACATCAAAATCAAATTTCTAAATATTTTTGTTTACACATAATTTGAGTTTGAAAAAATATTGCAGAATATATTCCAATGATGGATTTCAAACTAATTTTTAACACTCTGTAACTAATATTCCCCCTTTTTAAAGAAAAATATTGTTGTATTAATCTATTATTTAGTTCATTATCTATCAAATAATACTTAATTCATGTTTATAAAATTATCCGTTCACTCATAATTCAAATTTGAATTTTTTTTTCATAAAACTGAAATGTTTACGGAGTAAATGTTACGTTCAACTTTAACACCCTGTAACTTTTAATCTGCCTTTTTAACTAAAATAATTCAAAGGCTATTCTATTATAGAACTCATTATCTATTAAATAACGTTTAAATGATATTTGTAAAATTATCCATTCACCCACAATTTGAATCCGAAAAATATTTTCAAAATAGCGTACTTTTAATGTAATAAATGATATACTCAACTTTAACACCCTGTAACTATTAATCGGTCTTTTTTATTAAAATATTTCAAACACTAACGTAATATATAACTCATTGTCAATCTAATGACGCCTAAATCATGTTCCTAAAATTTTTGGTTCTCTCACAATTTGAATCCGAAAAAAAATCCACAAAATTAAAACTTTCAAGTGACAAATACAATTCTTAACTTTAACACCCTGTAACTTCTATACCACTAATTATACTAAAACATTATATAGTCAAATCGATTCCCCGACTAATTATCTACCCGATAACATCTTAACCTCTCTAATCAAATAACCCATTCACCAGTAATACCCACCCAAAAAACATCAATTTCTACCACTAAAACCATATATTTCTACAGCATAGAAGATGGCGGCCTTAAAAAAGACGGCATCCGCAAACAAGAAGAACTCTTCGTCGAAATGATCGTCAGCAACGCATCACTAAGCCGCTTTGAAGCCCGCAATGTCAAAACATTAATACCACAAGTAAAAATAACCTCAAAAATAAACCAACCTAAACAAATCTAACCTAAAATGTCTTTTTTTTAAAACCCACAGATAATAGCAACCGCTATCTCAGCATCTTTCCACCTCGTGGTAGGCATGTCACTCGCATACTCCGCCATCTTAGTCCCACAGTTAGAAGATGGCAGCACTGATCTAACCGCAACCAAAGCAGAAACAACATGGATAGGTATGCAACACAATATACCCACTCAAAACCACCAAAATTAACTTATTTTTACTTAATATAAAAAAAAACATAGCAAGTGTAATCGTAATCGCTGTGCCTATCGGTGCCTTATTCGGCGGATTCATAATGGACGCCAAGGGACGCCTGAACACAATCAAACTATCAACGATACCTGTTTTACTCGGCTGGGGGTTAATAGCAACCGCAAATAGTGTCACCATGATATTAATCGGCAGAATACTCACTGGTTTGGGAGCTGGTAAGCATCAAACACACATAACCTACAAATTAAAGTGTTAAACTCATTTTTAACACTTTTACCAATTTTCAGCGTGGTTTAGCAGTCCTGCAGTTGTATACATCACAGAAATCGCTCGTCCTGACATCCGTGGATCTTTAATATCATCAGCACCTGCTTTTGCATCATTAGGTAAGTCTAAAATAATAAAATTAATTGAAATATTAAAAAAACTCAATAAAAACTCATAAACCTATATAGTTAGCGATGTACTATAGGCAACCATATATACACAACTATAGTATGCATATAAACCGACAGAGGGCGCCATGTATTCACTCCCCAGCTGATCTTACATATTACACATTAACTCACACAAAAACCTTGCACTTGCAGGAATGGTTTTGGCTTACTTGAAAGGCTGGTTCTTCAGCTGGCGTACAACCGCATGGCTCGCCAACGCCTACGTGATCATCCCTGCAATCCTCATCATGTTCATACCAGAAAGCCCGGCGTGGCTTGTCTCTAAAGGCCGCATCGACGAAGCACGTCGTTCACTCGAGTGGATAAACCGATATCAACCTAAAACACACGATGAAAAGGTAGGTTATATACATTCTCACAACAATTGTACTAATATCACCTCATCCACAGCAAAGAACACTGTCAGAAATGCAACTTGACTTGCTCATCAAGGACAAAAAGACAAAAGACGACGAGAACGCCCTCTCTACAAACAGCAGCGCTGGCCGAACTGCAAGAGCACTACTAAAACCAACCGGAATCAAACCAATTCTCATCCTAGCAGGATTATTCTTCTTTCAAGACTTCTCCGGAGTGTACGTCACGTTATTCTATTCAGTCACATTCTTCGTGGAGATGGGAGCAACTGTAAATCCATACCTAGCGTCGGTTTTGATTGGTTTAGTCAGGTTTATCATGTCTATGGTTAATACTTACTTATTGAAGAGATATAAGAGGAGACCACTGGTGATGACGAGCTGTGCAGGCATGGCTGTATGCATGTTCATCTGTGGATTGTATACGTATTGGATAAAAACAGGAAGTTCAACACAAACATGGATTCCTGTGCTGTTTTTGTTGATGTATGTCCTCACATCGATGATTGGTATGTTGCCTATACCTTGGACGATGACAGCTGAGTTGTTCCCATTGGAGATTCGAGGGATTGGGCATAGTATATCGTATAGTTTGGCGAATCTGTTGATGTTTGCTTCGTTGCAATGTTATCGACCACTGGATGCGATGCTAGGTGGCGCGCATGGTATTTTGTGGTTTTTTGCAGGGATTTCCCTGTTGGGGATTTTGTATGCGTTTGTTTTCTTGCCGGAGACGCACGGGATGAAGCTGAAGGATATTCAGGAGTATTTCGAGCATAATTTTATTTTCCTTGGGCAGGAGAAGGTGGTTAAAGTGGAGGTTAAGAGTAGGGTTGAGGGTAGTGATGGGAAGATGGAGCCGGAGTTGAGGAAGCAGTTGATTGAAGGTAATATGGCGGCTGCTTAGGTTTTTATAGAGAATTTTAGGTTATTTTTTGATGATTTGATTTTTTTGGTTATACGAACAAAAATGAATAAAATGGTGGTTAGATGGACGCCATTGTAATTTTACAGTATTAACTATTTTATATTTATGAGTAATTTATGATTAATTTATGCTTTTATTTATAATTTTAATTTATTTTTATGATTTAGGTTTGATTTGATTTTGTAGGTTAGGTAATGTTGATAATAGTGTGATAACGGATGTGATACATGTTGATAATGAGGTGATGATGAGATGATATGCACAAACTTAAATGTTTATATTCAGGATATGATGATATTGTTAATAATGTGTACGCAATTTGGTAAAATGTAAAAATTAAAGTTTTGAGAAATGATTGGTTTTTGTGTGATTTTTAAAGTGGAATATCTCGCAAAAAAAAATTTTGGAGTATTGGTGATAGTGTCAGTTGAAAGGTAATTTAATAGAGAATTGGTTATGATTGTTTTGAAATTTATAAAAAGAGGGTTTATGAGTTACAGAGTGTTTAGCGAATGTTTGCATTTTGGAAGAAAAAATGCAATTTTTGCTTTTATATAAATTTACGGCTAAAATAAAAATTTTATGTGAATAAAAGTGAGTGTATTGGATAGATAAAGAGTTTACGAATCTATTGAGGTATTATTTATGTTTATCCGATTGTTGGAAGTGTTTTTATAAGGTTTTAAAGTTGAACAACAAAAACGCAGCTGTTTGCTACGTCACAAAATGTCAATGCGTGTTTTCGATCGATATAACTCAAAAACGGCATTTTTGATTATATTGATAAAAATATCATTAGAAAGATAATTTAATTTAGAATATTTTGCAGTTTTTTTGGATAACCTTAAATTATTAATAAAAAAGTTATTGCAATTTAAACAAATATTTTCGGTTAATTTGCGTGAAACTGCAATTTTTGTTTCAAACTTGAATAACAGCTAAACTAAAAATTTTACAAAGTTAAATATGAGCTCATTTGATAGGGAAAGAGATGAGGAATCCATTAAGGTATCACTTTTGATGATTAAATTATTGAAACAGTTTTTATTAGACTTTAAACATAAACAATGGAAACGCAGCGGTTTGCTACCTCTTAAGATATTATTACCATACTTTGGGACAAAATAACTCAAAAACGGCATTTTTGATAATTTTGAAAAAAACATCATTAGAAAGAGAATTTAATTAAGAATTATATGCAGCTATTTTGGATAACCTAAAATTTTTAATAAAAAAGTTACAACGTTTTAAACAAACAATTACAGTTAAAAACCTAAACCACGCATCTTTTGTTTAAAACTTAAATAATTACTAAAGTAAATATTTTATAAAATCATTTTAAAGCCTATTTTAAAGACAAAAAGTTAGGGAATCTTTTAATGTATTACTTTTAATTATCCGATAATTAGAACAGTTTTTATAACGTTTTAAACATAAACAATTAAAAGTTCACCAAAAAATCAATTTTATGAAGTTTTTACTTTGACAAAACGTCAAAACCGTCATTTATCATAAAATTTTGGTGAAGTTTCGTCTTCTTTATAATTTATCCCCTATATCCGCACTGTAAAGAGTGGCATCAAATATATTCCAGCAAAGTTTGATCAATAATCAAACAATTCCAGTTGTATTCTCATCATTTTCCTAATTTTATTGTTTTTCATCATAAAACCCACAAAACAAAATGTCTGACGGTAAAGGTGAACCCACAACGAGCCCATTACACCTCCTAACCACCAAAGAAGACAAAAAGAAGATAGCACCCGCATTAAGGACCAATCAACCAAATCCATACTAATCTCATGGGCGAAAACACAAAAAATGAACAGCATAACAAAACCCACACGAATTGCTCTCCCAAGCCCCAAACCAATCCCAACCCAGTCCGAAATCACCGTCAAACAATTCCTGGATGTGCTAAAAACAGCTTATCAGATGCATGATAACCTAGACACGTTTCTACTTAAAAAAGGTAGGTTATAAATCAGGTTAGGATATTTTTATTGAAATTTTATGTTTTTTAGTAGATTGGATCAGTTTAAAAGGTCTAGGAAGTAAGATAAGTACCATACCTAAAGGTATACCATCACCTGCATTGAAACCCATCGAAGAACCACCTCAAAACCCATCCGAAGATCAAAACATCGACGAAATGGAAATCCAGCTACAATCACGCCTTGCCCACGTCCTGAACGAAGGCATCATTGATTCTGTCCTGCCATTAATGGTACCAGTACAAGGAGGTACCACCAAAGTGTCAAAACCCACCAGGAGACCATCTGTTATACCAAAAAGTGCTTCATTAGATAAACTCAGCTGTACCAACCTCAAAAAATCCACAAGCACACAAGACATCAAAACAGAGTAAGAAAATCTAACATACCATCAAATAAAAAGCAATTAATTGTCTTATTTGTAGATCCAAAGTAGCTATACATGTCTTCGATGAAATCAAAGGCCTCAAGAAGGATTTCCTATGCAATCAGGTGTTACTCGTTGAACACATGGGTTACTTCGCTGATGTAACTAAAGATCAGCGATTGGAAGATATGGAAATCACTGTACACTGCGACATAACAATCTTTGAGTGGTTAATGAAGTATATCAAGAGAGATGTTGTCCTACCAGGTGATGAACCTGTCTTGGATGTGTCGAACACAGTGTCTATCTTGGTCAGTGCTTCATTTCTTCAAATGGAACCACTGGTTAACGAATGTCTGCACTTTTGTCACAAGCATATGAATGATATCATCAAGACAGCGAGTAGTTTGTCCAGTTTGAATGATACTATCTTGTCTAGACTGGCTGCGATGTACACCAACACAGAGGTTGAGACAATCAAAGACAGAAAGGACAAGATTCAGTCGAAGTTATACTGTAAACTCATTCAGAGTCTGTGTGAGATTGATGGTGAGGCACTCAGAGGTCACTACTGTACAATGGCAAGGGTCTACAGGTGTAAAACTGTCAGCAGTTGATTAATCCAAAGTATGGAAGTCAAATTCCATGTGTACCTGCTTGTATGCAGCTGCAATTTGATGGTACCATCGTGAATCACCATCAGATTGATACCAGCTGGGATATTAATGAGTATATTAGTCATTTGTATAAAGTTTTGAAGAGTTGGAGGAAGGTTTACTGGCGGGTATGGGGTGCATGTCATTTTTTGTATTGTACAGCTTGTAAAAGGTACTTCCCTGCTTGGCAAGAGGGATGGTGCAGGTACCATCCGGATCAGCCACAGTTTTTCACTCTGGATCCACAGAAACCTGCGTTGCCTGTTGGGAGGTACCCTTGTTGTGGGGAACGCGCTTACCGATTCGAGGTAGGTCATGTTTTACTATTTTTGTATAAAAGAGGTTATGTGTTATTTGAGGTTAGATTTTAGATGATCGCACTGGTTGTCAGTTCAGGGATCACACCATCTCGACTACGGAGATAAAAGACGCCGCCATTGTTGCGTTTCTAGATAATATGCGACATTTGATTGTGGAGGTACCTCCAAAGTTGGTATTCCCTGATCGGTTGACCAGGTTAATAGCAAGGGAACCCACCGATGCAGATGATAGTAAATTAGAGAGTAAAGAGTCTTTCTGGTGGGATGGGTTACAAATAGTCCCACCAAGACCTAAATTAGGGTTGTTAAGTGAATTGGTACCCTGTGATACTAATGAAGATCAAGGTGACCTTGAGGAGGAAAGTGAGGAGGAAACAAGGAGTGATACCAGTACTTCTGGTACCACTACATCGGAAAGTGAAGAGTCTGGACCTACAAAACACAAGGTAGGTCATTATAAAGACATACCTTCAATATTTTAAGGTTATATGTTTATAGATTCGTGGTAAACCAAAGAAAAAATTATACGCCCTTCAATGGCAGGTGAATTTATCATGCAGGAGTAACCAGGACCTGCAAAGGTTACACGAGGAGATTACCTTCAAGAAAATGGCGGCCATTATAAATTCCAGAACAAAACTAACCTCTGAGATAGAAAGCAGTAAAAATTCAAAGTCTAATAAACCTGGTATGTCTCCATAACCTAAAAATATTTTATAACCTACCAGGAATAACTTGCAGGTGGGATCTGGGTAAGGTTAGAAGCAGATTGGCGTGAGAAAAACCTACCAGCTGTAAGTAAAGCAAAAAATACCTACAATGGTAAGGTTAGGATGAAGTCCAATCGACTTACATGAAACATCATCATGCCTGGTACCACATCAAGGGTACCAGCTGATTAGTAATGTATAAAAATATATTGTGTATAATAAATATTGCTTAATATTAACATCAATTGGGTTTTGTACGTCGTACCATCGGGACAGGCACATGTGGTACCAGAGTGTTTTTACCCAAACGGGTAAGGGTCTTATCCGTGGATGAGGTACCAGCATTAGGGTACCCTCTGAATTGGGTACCTTTGTAACTGGAACAACTGGAATCTGCTATGGAGCGACCGTCGCCTTCATCACGGCGTGACATTTCGGAAAAAGGTGAGACCCTTTTTAGGTCACCTTGGTCGGGTTTCACTTTTGGGGCGGAGAGATGGGCCAAGGTCATTCTGGTTGCTTCCCTGGTAAGATTTATAAAAATTATTTTGATTTATGTTGAATATTATGGGTTTTGATGACCTACCTGGTCATAGCTTTACTCTTGTTCTTAACCTCTCTTTCCAGGATATCCGCCGTGGTCAAATCTGAGCTGTGGATCTGTTGTAACCCTTGGTTTTCAGTCAACCATGGTTTTGACTTTGTTTTTAATGTTGAGGTGGTACCTGGTGTGGTATTGGGGACCGTACCACCTGTTTTACTTTCCTGACTACCATTACTCCCTGTTTCTTCTTCTTCTAATAAATTTAATGAGATTTTATCTAACAGGGATGATTCCACTTGGGGCATTGCAACTTGTCCTTGATTTAGTAGTAATTTAGACAAAGGTGGGGCAAGACCCAACCCTATATTCCGTTCATGGTACACCTCGGATATTGAAGGTGTCATCTCCCGGTTTATATGCCGTAGTTGCGTAGCAAGAATCGCATCATGAAGATTTTTACTTTCCTCGGCCTTTTTGACCTCACCTCCTCTTTCGTTGACGTCATCATGAGTACCATCATCGTCCCCATTAGGTCTGAAGTATAATAACCTTTCATTGGCATTACCAGCTAAGTTTTCTTCAGATAAAGCTAGGATGTTTCGTTTTGAAGGTGAAGGGTTAGGAGCAGGTACACCTTCAGTTCTAACAGAAAGCCTGTCCAGGGTACAGGTACTCCTGGGTTTCTTCATGGGTCTCTGCATTTTGGTAAGCCCAACTGGATTCGGGACGTTGGGAGTTGAAGAAAACATTTTCTCCAGTTCAGAATCTGAAGAATTTTCACAGAAACCAGAAGGTAGGTTGTTATACAACGGGGTCATGTCCAGGAGATTCTTAGGGATCCTAGGTGGAGGTAAGGGTGGTTGTGACCTTCGTAGGACCGTATTCAACCCGGAATTTTCCCAGTCTGTTACAGAACTGGAGCTGGAGCTGTCAGGGCGACGACCTTCATGTTTTTCAGATTGAGGGTATAGACTCCTTATCCTAAACCATCAAAACCATTAAAACCTTAATCAGGTTGAAATTCAGGGAAGGACTTACTTTGTTTGGTGAGCTAACCCCATAGCAATGGCGTCTCCCTGAAGAACAACAGGTGGGCTTGGAGTGAATGCAGCATCTGACTCCCCACCCCCAGGTCGTGCTAAGGTTTGTTTTCTTTGAAGGTCCAACCCTAGAAGGGTTTTAGTATCTGGTGGGTTCGCTGTCCTACCATCAGGCTCACCTCGTCTTCGGACATAACTGGTAAACGCACCTCCAAGTTTCTTCCGAGGTAAAACCGCTCTGGAAAATGGTGGTACCCTCAAGGGTAACGTTGCAGCTGCACATTGAGGAGGTGGTATGTCTGTATCTGAATAAGACATCTCATTATCTGATGGTAGGCTTTCCAAACTACTGGATGAATCAATGGTTAGACTCTTCGGGGCCTCCTGGGTGTCAAACAACGCTAGTAAAGCCTGGAGGGTAAACTGAATATTCCTTCGGTTTGATTGTTTTGAGGTTCGAAGGGTCACCTTGTCTTGACCCACATCACAGAGGTCAAAACCCAAAGAAGCTAGTAATTCATGACAACCTGGGACCTGCCACAATCTAAAAACACATTTTTAAGGTTTTAGGAGTAAAAAAAAATTGATGGTACCCACCTGACGTTCAACCCTATATCAACCGTATCAGTATCCAGGTTCTTCGAATTGAATTGCCCCAAAGCACTTTGGATAACAGCAATGATATCATCAGCCACATCGAAATTTGAGGTTAGTTTTGACAGGGCATGGAGACTGGTAGCAGATAACCCTAAAAGGGCCTGAAGACTGGCTGAGCATTGAGTTAACCTCTCATCTGGGTCACTCTGAGGAAAAAACACACTTGAAGGTATCCCATTTGAAGCAGGTTCAAACCGGAAGCCCACAGACATCAACAACTCCTTCCATCCATTGATGGTACCCACTTTGTTCTCGATAGACTTTTGGGTTGTATACATCGCGTTCTTTTGACCTCTGTGTATCCTCTGAAGACTTTTCTCTACTAAATGCAGGGTAACCCTTAGGGCATCTCTACACTTCTCGGGTACCTTCAATAATTCACATAGGGCTTGACCCATAAGGGCCACTTTGTTAGACAACCTAACATTAAAACCCACGAGGAGGAACCCAGCCCAATTCGCAGGATGTGCGAAGTGTTTTGTATGTTGGACGGTTTGCATTGCTTCCGAAAGGGCCCTGGCAGCACGGGTACCCTGAAGAAGTGATGAATAGAAAGCCCTGAGTAAGATTTTGGTTGCGGTATCAGGTACGGGCCATAGGGAAACCAAAACAGCTTGGGTACCAGCTTGTAGAAGGGATTTGACCAATGTGGATACACCTTGGGCATTAGCCCAACCACCTTGGTCCCTGGTATGTGATGAGGAGACTACCACCAATCTGGCTTGCATCTTCAAACTGCTGATGTCCGCTGCGCTTAAGAGGAACTCACCTGGTGAGGGTGTCTCTGCAGAAGTGGACACCTCACCATCATCATCCTCTTCAGCTATATCTGTCATATAGATCTTACTCTTTGTTGGTGTTCTCTCCAAGACCTCACCAGGACTTAGGACCAACGAGCTCAGCTTCCAGGAAACATGGGTTGCCATATGGATACATTCAGCTTCCTGTAACTGGGTCATGATGGTATGTTTGGTTGCGTCATTTCCGACCAGGGCGTGGGTCTGGAGTAATTCAGCGACCATGGTTGCTTCATGTTCAGCCTGAGGTATATCCTTCCACCCCCATTGCTCTAGAACCCCTGTGGGTAACTTGGGATTACCCACAATTAAACTCTTCACTGTTTCTGTCCCTTGAGCTGGTACCTCTTGACCTTGACCTTGATTCCGTCTAGGTTTTGTATTGGATCTCCTGTTTAACGCGCCTAAATTAGGTATGCTTAACAGGGAGAACCTCTCACATAAATACTCAGCATTTTCCTGACTGGATCTCAATACAGGGAAGGGTACCAGGAATAAGTCACCTTCCAGAACCAAAATCAATTCTTTTTTGGTGCTTTCCTTGTCATCTATCCTGGTCATCAGGTACTCCTCGAAGGGTTGTAGTAATAAAGTATACAGGGAGTGGAAACACGATGGTCCTTTCCAAGGGTACCACGAAGACCTCATCCGGGTTGATCCTTGACTTGATCTTGATGACCCTCGCAGGGATGCAACACTACCTCCAACACTACCAACGGAAAACAGGGAACTCAATGAATAATTGGAACTATTCAGAAGGTGAGACCTGTTGACCATTCGTAGGAACCCAGGTCGATCAGACATAGCATCATCATTGTATTGGTCTTCTGTGATGGTTGAACAGGGAGATAATTCCTCACCCAGACTATCCCGCACGGATAATACCAATCTTTCCAGACGCCCTGAATTAAATTTAGCATCAACTAACTCAGAAGGACCTGGTATGTCTTCCTGAAGAGGTGTGGCGTGGAATTTCAGGATACCCTTAGTAGGAGCAATTAACCATGCGTAGAGGTACCCCGAAGCGATGGAGAAGTAGAGGACCATTGCCCGTTGCCGGTTTACTATGTCCAGGATCTGTTGGACATTGGTAGGGTGCAGATCTTCATCACGTTTTTTTTTCTTCAGGTCTGAGGAGTTTTCCAGGGTGGTTTTCTGTCTGTAACGTTCGGCAACCACCAAGGCTTCTTCTGTTTTGTTCAATTCTACACAAAAAATGGTCATAATAATTAAATATTGAATTTGAAGGTACCTCAAGGTCATACCTGTTAAAACCCTCTGGAGTACCTGATAACTGGTACTCTGTAACTCCTGGATCATCATTTTACTGGCGTGACTATTCCTGGCATCTCTTTTGATGGTCTCCAGAAGGATACAAGCATCTTCCAGTTGTTTCTGCGCACCTTCAAGGTCACCATGAGACCATAATGCTATTCCCAACCTATTTCTGATTTTACATTCTTCCTCGTGTCTGTTCAGGGCCTCGGCAATCTGAAGACCCTCTTTAAGGTATGCTATACTCTGTGTTTTGTTACCCAGGAGTTGATGAACTCTTCCCAGACTACTAAACGCCAGGGTCCTACCCAATTGGTCATTGTTATTGGTTGCTACTGCCAAGTGCTGTTCCTGGTAGTAGATAGCCCTGTCAAGGTTTCCCAGGGATTCATAAACCATACCTAGGTTGGAACACGCCCTGGATTGATTTGAAGGTAGGTTCAGCTCCTCAGCAATGTCAAAGTCTTTCTCATGGTATTTTAGACTGGTGCTATAGTCACCCATTTGATGGTATACACAACCCAACATGGAGAGACTATCAGCTTCCGTGACCTTGTCATTCAACTCCACAGCAATGGTCTGCTGGTGTTCCAGACAGGAGATAGCTTGTTCCAGATTACCCAGAGCAGAGTGTAGTTGTCCCAACTCACCATAAGCTGCTGCTTTGGCTTCAGGTAGGCCCAGTTCATGGGATACCACCAAACGTTTCTCCAGACATACCAGAGCCTGTTGTAGGTTACCCAGACACTTCTGGGACTGCCCCAGGCATCTATAAGCCCTTTCCTGGTCTTTTGGGCTTTTCATCTTGGAAGCAACATTCAGGTACTGCTCATGGCATTTGATAGCATCTTCAGGGTCTCCCAATGCATCATAACAATCTCCTAAACTACCAAAAGCCCTGGCACGGTCTAGAATGACTATTTCAGAGTTTATCTGTTCCAGGGTACCTAATTGTTGTTCCAGGTACCCTATGGCATCTTCATAATGACCCATATTGAGTCTGGCTATACCCAGATTACCAAATGCTTGTGCCTCCATGGTGGAATCCTGTAACTCCTGTGCTCTTTCCAGTTGTTCCTGGTAACATTTCACAGCATGCGTGTAATTCCCCAGGGACATATGCACAGACCCCAGATGACCATGAGCTCTACACTCCCCAACAACTCAGACATCATCAACTAACTCCGAAGGACCTGGTATGTCTTCCTGAAGAGGTGTGGCGTGGAATTTCAGGATACCCTTAGTAGGGGCAATTAACCATGCGTAGAGGTACCCGGAAGCGATAGAGAAGTAAAGGACCATTGCACGTTGCCGGTTTACTATGTCCAGGATCTGTTGGACATTGGTAGGGTGCAGATCTTCATCACGTTTCTTCTTCTTCAGGTCTGAGGAGTTTTCCAGGGTGGTTTTTTGTCTGTAACGTTCGGCAACCACCAAAGCTTCTTCTGTTTTGTTCAGTTCTACAAAAAAATTATTAGATAATGAATTTGAAGGTACCTCAGGGATTCAGGGACTTACCTGTTAAAACCCTCTGGAGTACCTGATAACTGGTACTCTGTAACTCCTGGATCATCATCTTGCTGGCGTGACTATTCCTGGCGTCCCTTTTGATGGTTTCCAGAAGGATACAAGCATCTTCCAGTTGTTTCTGTGCACCTTCAAGGTCACCATGAGACCATAATGCTATACCCAGTCTATTTCGTATTTTACATTCCTCCTCGTGTCTGTTCAGGGCCTCAGCAATCTGAAGACCCTCTTTGAGGTATGCTATGCTCTGTGTTTTGTTACCCAGGAGTTGATGAACCCTACCAAGACTACTAAACGCCAGGGTCCTACCCAATTGGTCATTATTATTGGTTGCTACAGCAAGATGTTGTTCTTGGTAGTAGATAGCCCTGTCAAGGTTTCCCAGGGATTCATAAACCATACCTAGGTTGGAACACGCCCTGGATTGGTTTGAAGGTAGGTTCAGTTCCTCAGCAATGTCAAAATCTTTCTCATGGTATTTCAGACTGGTGCTATAGTCACCCATTTGATGGTATACACAACCCAACATGGATAGACTATCAGCTTCCGTGACCTTATCATTCAACTCCACAGCAATGGTCTGCTGGTGTTCAAGACAGGAAATAGCTTGTTCCAGGTTACCCAGAGCGGAGTGTAGTTGTCCCAGCTCACCATAAGCTGCTGCTTTTGCTTCAGGTAGGCCCAGTTCATGGGATACCACCAAACGTTTCTCCAGACATACCAGAGCCTGTTGTAGGTTACCCAGACACTTCTGTGATTGCCCTAGGCATCTATAAGCCCTTTCCTGGTCTTTGGGGCTTTTCATCTTGGAAGCAACATTCAGGTACTGCTCATGGCATTTGATTGCATCTTCAGGGTCTCCTAATGCATCATAACAATCCCCTAAACTACCAAAAGCCCTGGCACGGTCTAGAATGACTATTTCAGAGGTTATCTGCTCCAGGGTACCTAGCTGTTGTTCCAGGTACCCTATAGCATCTTCATAATGACCCATATTGAGTCTGGCTATACCCAAATTACCAAATGCTTGTGCCTCCATGGTGGAATCCTGTAACTCCTGTGCTCTTTCCAGTTGTTCCTGGTAACACTTCACAGCATGCGTGTAATTCCCCAGGGACATATGCACAGACCCCAGATGACCATGAGCTCTACACTCCCCAACAACTCAGACATCTCCTGCCTCAAGGTCAACTCCTGAGTGTGATACCCAAGGCCTTATCAAACCTTTTCAGTAATCTATTCGCACTTCCCAGGGCCCCACATGCGGCAGCTTCCATATTGCGATCCCTGTTGTTCCGGGCCAAAGCTAATTGTCTATGGTACATCTTTACCGCTTCATCTACATCCCCCATCTTCAGAACCACATCACCTATATTCCCCAGGGCCCTGAATCGTCCCTGAAGATTATTAGTCATATGGGCTATGGCCAGGAAGTATTTCTGACACTCCAGACTTGTATCCAGTTGGTTTAAAGCTAAGTGGGCTAAACCTAGGTTACAATAAGCTCGGCCCATGTTCATTTTATCCTGGAGATCCTTGGCTAGTGCCAAATCTTGGTCATAATACCTCACAGCTTCCCTGAAGTTCCCAATACAATAATGGGCATATCCCAGGAAGTGGCAAGCTTTGGCCTCACCTTCAACATCAGATAACTCTTGGGATAACATCAGGTACTGCTCATAATAGGGTATAGCTTCCCCAAATTCACTCCGTGATGATAAACAATTACCAAGGTTTAACAGGGCACAAGCCTCACCTGCTGTGTCTTTCAATTCTCTGGCTATCCCCAAATGGGCTCTGTAGTGTAACAGGGCCATATCATGCGCACCTATAGCCTGGTAAGCCACAGCGAGGTTACCATGAGTGCTTGCTTCCGAGGTCCTGTCATGAACCTCTTTGGATATCTGAAGTTCCTGTTTGTGATACTTTATAGCAGATTCATAGAACCCTGCTGCTGAGTAAGCATTCCCTATGTTACCATACGCCCGACCCATGCCAGCCCTGTCCTGTAAACTCCTAGCAACTTGAAGGTGTGCCTGATGTAACTTCAGGGCAGCATCATATTCTCCTAACAATTGATACACAATCCCTAGATTGGAACATGCCCTACCTTCTCCAACTTTATCCCTGGAACTCAGGGCCATGTCCAATTGTCTTTCATGCCAGTGTTTCGCCTGGACATTATCCCCTCCACATCTGGAAGCATGACCCAACCCTGCATACGCCCGGGCTTCCACAGATTTATCCCCGATGATCTGCGCTAACCTCAGGACCTTCTCATGGTATACAATCGCCTGAGCAAAGTTCCTTCTGTAATGATAACTGGAACCCAAATTACTAAAGGCTCTTGCCTCTTCCACTTGATTCCCCAATCTCCTGGAGATCCTCAGGTGTTGGGTGTGACAATCCACAGCAGAGTCAAAGTCACCCATTGCCAGGTACACCGCACCTACATTCCCTATCTCCCTGGCTTCCTGTAATCGATCCCCGATCTGTTTAACCAACTGGACACATTGTTTATGTGATGCCAGGGCGTTAGGGTAGTCCCCAATCGCAGTATAGACATGACCCAGGGAGGTTAGGGCAGAAGCAGCTGCCTGGGTATCCTTACACTTCATTGCTAATACCAACTGGTATCTATGGGCTGTCAAAGCTTCCTTATGACTTCCTTGACTGAAATACGCTGAACCTAGGTTGCCATGCGCGCGGCATTCACCTGAAGTGTCCCCGAGACTCTTGGCGATTGCCAGGTCCTGCTGCATGTACCCTATTGCTTTGTCAAGGTCATTCAGGGCCCAGTGGGCTGAACTCAGGGCACTAAAGACACTTCCTCGGAGTTTCAGACTGCAGGAACCGATTTTCAACGCGCTTTCTAATACTGTTATAGCGGAGTGATAGATACCTGCTGCTAGTAACTCCTGGCCCACTACAGAGATGAGCACGAATGGGCTTTTGTCCAGTTTCATCAGCTGGAGTTGTTGGAATGTGGGTTCGAGGTTATGTTTCAGTGGGGATTTTAGTGATGCTTCTATAAGTGAGCTTAGAAGTTGTTGTGAGGTTGGGTCTTGAGCTAGGCCTGAAGAGAAGGCGGCGAGGGCCTCGCCATGGCGGTCTAGGCATTGCAGGGCTACGCCTTGACGGTAGTAGGCTTTGGGCCAGGTTGGGCAGATGTCTCTGGCGGCGATGGCGTCTTGAAGGGCTTGGGCGAATAGGCCTTGTTTTAGCCGGGCTGCTGAGCGGTTGGAGTAGAGGATGTGGTTCGATGGGTCCAGTTGTAGAGCGTCTGTGTAGAGGGCGACTGCTGTGGAGAAGTCGCCATTTTGACAGGCTGCGTTTGACTGTCGTACCTGAAGAAATATAGGGGATTAGTTTTTGTTGTGATTTTGATGTTTTGAGTTTGATTGAGAGTAACTTTATGAGTTTTAGAGGTAGAGAGGTGGTTTATATGGCGTTTTGTAGATAATTTAATTGGTAATTTGAGGAATATTTGTTTGTTATATCGTTTAAATTAGTGTAGACGTTATTAACAATTTAGTAAATGAGTCTTTTTGGAAAAATGATTATTTTTTAATTGGTTTTTTAAACATGCTTTAACTTTTTAATTAATAACAATAATTACTTTCTGTTTTTACTAGTTTATAGATAATTTATTTGTTTATAGGAATAAATTATAATAATATTAGTTTTAAATAAATTGTTGCTATTATTTTGCATTTTAATTTCTAAATATTTTTTTTAGTAAAAAAATCAAGTTTAAAGTTTAACGTCAAATTAAGGTAATAAATAATTTAGGAGTATTATCATTATATACTTAATTTTATAGATAATTTAATCCTCTTTCAATATATGAAAGAATAGAACGGATATCATAAAAATTACTTAAGTTACAAGCAATTTTCTAAGTCATTGATTTTTCCACTTGGAAAATGTTCATCTGAATAAATTCACTGCGTAATACTCATCTTCAAAATGTTATAACTTTTAAACGAAAAGAGATAATTACCTCAAATTTTTACTAATTTATAGATAATTTATTTGTTTATCAGTGTGAGTAATAATAATAATGAATTAAAATGAATTGTTGCTATTATTTTGGATTTTACCAAAAAAATCATTTTTTAGTATAAAAACAAAGGTGAAAGTTTAAACAAAAATAAAAACCATAAACAATTAACTAATAATATTATATTATACATTGTTTTATAGACAATTTAATCAACTTTCCAAACAAAAAAGAATAATAACTTTTTCTCAAAAATTACCAAAGTTACAAGCAATTTTCTAGGTCATTGATTTTTCCACTTGGAAAATGTTCATCTGAATAAATTTACTGCGTAATGCTCATCTTCAAAATGTTATAACTTTTAAACGAAAAGAGATAATTGCACCAAATTTTCACAAGTTTATAGATAATTTATTTGTTTATCATAATGAGTAATAATAATAACGAATTAAAATGAATTGTTGCTATTATTTATGATTTTATCAAAAAAATCATTTTTTAGTAAAAAAATCAAAATTAAAAGTTTAAACTAAAATTAAAACAATAAAAAACTAAATAATATTATCAAATTATACCTTGTTTTATAGACAATTTAATCATCTTTCCACACAAAAAAGAATAATAACTTTTTCTCAAAAATTACCAAAGTTATAAGCAATTTTCTACGTCATTGATTTTTACACCAAAACCCCAGCACCAAAAGTTCAATAATGCTCAACATCCGGCGCAATCGCCGGTATCTTCAATACTTCTTTTCGTAAATTACCTTCTCAAGAAACAATTTGCGGTTGATCGGCGGCAGCTCCGGCGTCCCCTGCGGCTCCACCTACAACGCACACAAAAAATCACGTAGAGAATATTAACCGTTTCCTGTGCATCACAAAAAACTCGTTGTTTCAACCAACAAAAAACAAAAAAACCCAAAAAATAAGCAAAAATATAAACAAAAACTTATCTAATTAGATTTAATTAATAGACATACCTCAGTGAAGTCACGATGTGACATTTTTGTGCACATAAACTAATCCATGCATAAATTATGCAGCGAAACGCACTTAAGTCACTTCTTCGAGCTTAAGCATCAAGTTCACACTAATTAAAACACATTTTTCCGCCAACTCGTCGAAGAAAATTAATGTTTACAAATAAATTATTTAATTGCATAGACTTAAGTTGATTGACCGCTGTTTGCACTTGATTTTCTTCATTTTCACGTCAAAATCGCACTTACACTTAAGTCACACACACAAAACATTAATTATTATTTAGTTTAATATAAAATTAATGATTTTAAACATTGTAGGATGATTAACCGCGTGAATTTTATGTGATTTAGTGGTTTTACTTAAGTCTTGTCGAGAGAATGTGTTCGCCATCTTAACACACGCTCTCTTCTTGAGTTGACTGTGCTTTGGAGGCGACATCGACGCACGACGAAGCCGACGCGCCGTTCGAGTTCACTTCACCTTCTCATACACACTAACACACATATAGAGAGGAAGGTACACATAGAGTGACTTAAGTCGTGCGCGCAGGTAGAAGGCGTGCGGCTGTGTGCGCGAGCGGCTTAAGTCACATACACGCTCGCAAGTTCACACGCACCTGAAGCGCAGGTATGCGAGAAGGCGGGGTTTCTGCTCACGACCAAAGCACAACAAAAGTTAAGCAAAGTTTTACGTGACTTAAGGCTTCTTTTGCGAGAAATTTAAGTGTAATTAATATAGGCAACTGGATGTACAAGATTTAAAGTAATATTATGAAAAATTGGCTTAATATAAGGGTCAAATGAATGTAGGCAACCAAATTTACATTTTTGACATCAAATATTAAGTATTTTAGCTTCTGATGACATAAAATACTGATTTTTAGTACAAAATTAAGTAATTACTTAGTATTTTAAGTTTTATCATATAAAATTGACATAATATACGCGTCAAGTGAATATAGGCAACCAAATTTGCACGTTTGACAGTAAATATTAAGTGGAGAAGCTTCTATGACATGAAATACTTGTTTTTAGTACAAAATAAAGTAATTACTTAGTATTTAAAGCGATATTATGCTAAATATGCTTAAAATAAGCGTTATGTAACTATAGGCAACCAAATTTACATTTTTGACAGTAAATGTTAAGTGGAGAAGCTCCTATGACATAAAATGATGGTTTTTAGTACAAAATTAAGTAATTACTTAGTCTTTAAAGTGATATTATGCAAAATATACATAAAATAAGCGTAATGTAACTGTAGGCAACCAAATGAACATTTTTGACAGCTAATATCAAGTGAACGGAGCTTCTATGACATAAAATACTTGTTTTTAGCAGAACATTGAGTGATTAATTATCATTTTAAGTGATATTACGAAAAATATGAATGAAATATGCGTAATATAAGTATAGGCAACCAAAAATACACTTTTGACAGCTGCTATGAAGTGGTCGGAGCTTCTATAACCTAAAATACTTATTTTTAATACAAAATACAGTAATTACCTATTAATTAAAGAGATATCATGTTACATATGCCCAAAATAAGCTTTATGCAACTATAGGCAACCAACTATACACTTCTGACAGTTAATATCAAATGGGCGGAGCTCCCACAACAAAAACACTCATTTTTAGCCCAAAATAAAACTAAATACTTAAAATATTATATACAAATTTATTACTTTACATTTTAAAACCTAAATTATTAAAATTTTCACTTAAATATTGTTTTTTTTTTCTTTATTTTTATTTAATTATTTATAATTTGCTACTCTCTGACCCGATCCTAGGCAAACGCATTCCGCTAACTTGTCGTCCATTCAAACCATTCTCATCAGCAGTCGTGAAAATATTATTATCATGCCCGTAATCTCGTGAATTCTCGACCTTTTTCGGTCCTTCCATCAAGAACAACGTCAACAAAAACATAACCGAACTAATCGCATAGAATCCAGCGTAAAAAATATACAAAGATTCACGATATCCAATCGCTTTCGATACCGGCTCGACCAAAATCGGTAAATTCCCTCCGACGTTATTCATAACAAACAAAAACACTCCTACGGTAGTGGAACGCACTTGAACAGGCACTATTTCGACTAAAATAGCGAAAAGAATACCAAACCACATCTCAGCTAAAAAATAATAATAAATTTATTAGTGAGGTTATAAAAATTTAAAATATTTTAAGGTTATGTTAATAAATTATCTTACCGAAAAAGTATGACAATCCTAAAGTGATCATAGCCCATGTCGGACTGAAAAATACACTGCCAAAGGCACCAGGTGTCGCTATAAGTTGACTCAAGGCCAAAACAGCCACTCTTGATCGCACGCCCATTTTAGCAACGAATTTATCCGAAACAACACCGCCTGCGACTACTCCAATGCTGCCAATCACAATTGTGACAGCAAACAGCCACCAGCCAAGGTCATACTCCGGGAAGTATGTTTGGTAGTATAAGTCACAGTTGTAGGCAAAACACATACCACCTAAAACATGACACATCAATATTTAACCTCAAAAACATCAAATTTACATTTTATACATACCACAATGTCTTATAGACGCAGCCAAACACAACATAACAATCCTCGGTTCCAATATAACCGCCCAGATTGACACCTTCTTCTTTTCTCCGTTTTTCCCTGTGGCGTCTTCCCCAATCGCTTGACGTTCGGGTTCCCTCAAGGTCAAACCAGTTATAATTGCGATGATCAACGCTATGACACCAGCGCCATAATATGTGATCCGCCATCCCATGTCCCAGATATTCAACGGTGGTATGTATCTACCCACAGGGAACGCGATACCATAACCTCCGTAAATCCCCAGTTGAATATACTCATCACTAACGCACGTTTCTCTTCAGGGAAAATATCCGAGAGTAATCCGGTGGCTAACGGGTTGCAGCCTGATTCACCAGCCGCCATGATCATGCGCAGTACGACCAGATGCCAGTATTCTTTGACACTTCCACTGAAGATCATCGCGATGGAGAAGACCACTGTACAGACGGTTAACATCTTCACACGGTTGTATTTATCAGCCAGGACACCCATGACTACGCCGACGATGGTGAACACGGCGATGAAGCTCGGCCCGGCGAGGATTTGGTAGTCTAATCCCAAGCCGTTGTAGTTCCATTCGCAGTACTTCGTTCCGTTGATGTTCAAAGAATGACAACTGAAATTTAAGGTTAGATATAAAAGTATTACCAACTTTTAGTTATTTTTAGTTATTTTTTAGTTGTGGTTTAGTTACTTACGTGTCACTATCGTTGGCAACATTGCAATGCACGGGCAGTTCGTGTATGTGATAGTCTGTATTGTTGAGTTGACAGGTTATGTCACCGTAGTGTAAATCAATGGCGATTTGTTTCGAGGTTACGCCGATTAGGTAATGGCCGAGTTCACCGAGGACATAACCTAGGAGACGATGAACAACACGTAGGGCTGATAGAGGAACGCTAACTTTTCTTTAATGGCGGCCATTTTCTACAAAAAACACAAAAACAAAATGGTTGACTTTACAAAAATTAAAAACACATAAAAATTAGTTTTAAATGATATTAAAAATTAAATAATCAAATACAAAGTGTTTTTAAATAATTTTTAAAATATTATACAGGGTGTTACACTAATTTTCTTCAATTTTTTGGGTAAAAAAATTAAAAAATTATAAAAATTAATTTAAAAAGTTTTTAAAAATTAACAAACATATACTGAGTGTTTTAAAATATTTTAAAAATATTATACAGGGTGTTACAAATTTTTTTCTTACTTTTTTCGTGTAAAAAACTTCAAAAACTTAAAAATAATCCACAAAATTATACTTCTATGCACATTTTTTAATTTTTAACACTTTAGAAACTCTATTATTACACTTTTAGTGATTTTTAGATTTTTAGTTGATTAGCGTCCACCTATGACTCCCTCGCCTGCATCGCCGAACGAAACTGAAAGCTTTTGCTCCGCCAGCCGACGATTCGCATTCGCACCGTCCCACTGCTTCCCCCTTTTTTGTACAAATAAAAAAAAAGAAAGACACACACAACAAACGAACGACGCAAGAATATAGTACACGCGGAATTAAGATTTTAGAATGTCAGCGCTGTCAAGGTCATCCGTACGCATTTGAATGATTTGAATAAATGTTTTTTTTAGCGAATTGACACCGTATGGATTGTGTCATTGTCGGTGTGGAAGAAATTTTACGCTTTGATTTACGTCGAAATGTTTTGCACGGCGTGATTTATTGCGGTTTTTCGGTTCCGCTTCCTTTGGAATAACTTTAAACAGTGAAAAACAATAAGAGTCATGTAGAATACATAGGTTTTTATGTTTTATAACACTCTGTATGGTTTTATTGGGGTATTGTTTGATATTGTGTCTTAAAATGGAAGAAAATTGGGTTTAACCTTAATTTTTGTCTATTTTTGACGTTTTAGAGTTTATGTAACACCCTGTATAGTATTTTTGGTCATGGGTGATTAATTATTAATGCATTTAAACACTCTGTATGTTTTTACATTCGTTTGACTTGATTTTAACTGTCAAAACATTGAAAAATTGATTTTAACCTCAATTTTTGGTTATTTTTCAGTTTGTAACACTTTGTATGGTATTTTCATGCATGGGTAATTAACCATTATCATATTTAAACACTCAGTATGATTTAAACCCAATTTTATTTGATTTTAACTGTCAAAACATTAAAAAATCAATTTTAACCTTAATTTTGGTATATTTTTGAGTTTGTAACACTCTGTATGGTATTTTCAAGTTAAATTGATTAACCATTAACATATTTAAACACTCTGTATGGTTTTATACTGGTTTGACGTAATTTTAACCGTCAAATTAGAAGAAAACCAAGTTTAACCTCAATTTTTGACTTATTTTTGAGTTTTTAACACTCTGTATAGTATTTTCTTGCAAGGTTAATTAAATATCAATATATTTAAACACCCTGTATGTTTGTACACCAATTTTATTTGATTTTAACTGTCAAAACTCTAAAAAAACAATTTTAACCTCAAATTTTGCCCATTTTTGCTTATTTTAATGTTTATCCAACACCCTATACAATATTTTTGTGCAAGGTTGATGTCAACATTAATTAATGACTTGTTACTCGTACTTGTGACGGTAAATAAATAAGTGAATAATAAGTTAATGAGTTAATACGTAAACAACGGCCGATGACAAAATAGGCAACCAGTTATGCAGCACACGCATCACATGTAACAACTCTATCAAAACTAGATCAAGTTCGATATCATTACAAATCATCAATTCCTCCTCCAAAAAAAAAAAAAAACAATATTTATTAACTTCACTTGATAATAATAATTAATATTGAGTGTCAATTTGATAATATCGATGACATTGAAATAAATAAACAAATAATTGCTGATAATTGATGCTTATCATGCGACAAAGCGTATAATAAATAATGAAGAGTACGAATGTCAACGCCAACAATGCGTACGAGTACAACTTGCATGGCTGCACGCAATGTTTACAATATTTACAATATTTACATACTCATAGTGTACGAATGGTAATCTAACCTTAAAATGTTTAAAAATATTTGTGGTTAGTGGTATAACCACACGTTGAAGTCACTCAACAGTATGCAACACATCATACACCAATCTAACCTTAAATATTATGTTAAATAGAGTTATGGCGGCCATTTTGTGTATTGCCTGATGGCCTTTGATGTCAAATGAAGTGAATTTATGTTTTTCACAGTTTACGAGCGTCAATTTGTGTAGAGACGTGTAAAAATGTAGAAAATCACCGAGTGGGTGCACTTGACTTCATTTCAGACGCAAAGTGAGATGGGAATTAACATACGCGTCTCTCAAGTGTATTAATTACCATTAACACACGTTGAGATACATTAATATGCATTAATATGCAGTTATTTTTCATTTGCGTTGAGTTTATCACTTGATCAGTGTTAAATCACTTCCTAAGTCTTGAAAGCTTCAATGTTGCATTCATAAATTATAAATAATAAGAAAAATTGTTTAATTTATGCTTAAAATATAACCTATGATGTCAGAAATGTCAAAAATGTCAAAATGTCAGCTGTCAAATGTCAAAAAAAACAAAAATTTACAAAAAAATGAAAAAATTGATGTTTATTCAATAAAAACAAACAAAAATCGTGAAAAAAATTTACGGCGACATAAAATCAAACTGCTAGACTATAAATTAAAATAATTAGTATGATTTGTTAATAAACAAATGTAAAACTGCGTCGAAACTATGAGGAAATGAAAAAAGTTTAATTAAAGCATAGGTTAGTGGTAATAAAAGTGTTTAATACGCTTTTGCAACATTTGTTATCGTATGTTGTTGGTAATTTTGTTCGTTTGTATCTGCGTAAAAGAATTCGAATTTAAATTCGAAATTAATTTCATTTTCAAAGACCTTGATGCTTGATGCTTGAAACTTAACGCGCCGCACAATGCTAATAATTTAATATTTAATACATAATTCCGTACGCAATGATCGTGAGCGAGAAGTGAGCGATTATATTTGAATAATGCGAAATTGTTATTATAACCTAGTATTATATGTTAATTGCTTGTTTTTGCTTCGAGTTAAACAATTTAATAATACATTTTATTTGCGGAAAATGTTTTGTTGGTTTTGTGATGTGAAATGTTTTGGTTTTTGTTTTGTAACTTGAAAGTTTATTGGTGGAAATTGGTGAAATTTTGGGGGTTTGTTGATAGTGAAATTGTTTATTTATTGGTGAAAAGATTATGTTAATATTTTAATTAGGGCCTGAGATATTTGATGGTAAAGTTGAAAATTAAAAATTAAAAATTTTATGTTTTTTGTTAGAGTGATTTATTTACTTAAAAAGTTAATAATTTATATATTTGTTGATAAATTTGGGTAAATGAAAGTAGATGAACTAGTTTATGTATGTTTTGACGAATTTTGATAAAATTTTATCTGTGGGCTGAGATATTTAATAATAAACATTAACAATTAATTTTTAAAGCAACTTTTCTTGTTGTTTTGATTTTATATAGTAAATTGTTAATAACTTTTACATTTACTTATTAAAATTAATCAAATTAGGTTTGATGGGAGCTAGGGAGCTAATCTATGAGTATTTTAAACAACTTTTGCAAAATTGCTTCTGTGAGCTGAGATATTTAGCTTCAAAGTTCAATAATTAAAATATAATTTCTGTTATTACCTAATATTAACACATAAAGTTAAATTGTTTATAACTCAGTCAATTACTAACCAAACCAAACAAAATTCACAAAACTACAAGATAATAAACCAATTTATCAATATTTAAAATCCGCACGTTAAAATTCCTCCCAATCAAAAGTTATAAACAATTTAATCATCAAATCTCCTCAAAACACCTCAAACACATTAAATTTCCAAGAATAATTTTGTTTTAATTAGAAAACAGATTAAAACACTCAACAAACATCTGTCTCTAAGTCAAGGTAAAGCCATAAAGTAATTGTAAATCTACCTCAGTGCAATGCACACGCCTCTGCACTTTGCAGCATGCAAAACTCAAAACGAAACGAAAAATTACAGAAAATTGCAATTCACCTTTAAAAACTTTAAAAGGCAAAAACATAAACAATTATTACACAATTACACAATCCCACTATACCCACACACCACTAATTATATCATTTGTTTAACCAACGATTAATAATCGTAAATTATAAACAATTGACACGTTAAAACAATAAATTCGTGACGAAAATCATTAAATAAATGAGAAAACGTTAATAAAACTAAAAATATTTGTTAATATTTATAAAATATTATTGTAATTAATGATATAATTAACATTTTATAAAAACTATTGTTTTTAGGTTTATTATTGCATTTTTATGACGTTTTTTGAGGTGTAAATTAAGAAATACGGAGATTTTAATTGAATTCTTCGTTTAATCACGCGATACTAATATTAATCCGAGTGTTTGGACCGTTAGGCATAGAATATAGCTTGGTGTAATGAAGGTTAACAAGTTTCTTCAACAATTACTATTGGATAATGTAATAATTTAGTAATAATCTATTCAAATCATTAAATAAATTAAAAAATTGATTTTTATTCAAAAAAATTACAAAAACTCTTAAAAAACGCTCAAAAATCACGTAAAACAATTAAAAATAAACAATTTTTGTGTTGTTTATAATAATATAGTAAATTTTACTTACATTAATAATGTTTTTAACCATTTTGTAACAAAAGAACATTGATTGTTTGACTGTTGAAGTAATACTGAAGGAAAATTGACAAAAAATAGTAAAAGCTTGAAAGCTTTGATAGTAATCGATGCAAGGATATATAAATTACCTATAGTGGACTATAATTAGCTTGTCTTTGTTTAGTATATGTTGTGACAATTGTAACAAATGTTATTCGTCCTTAACCTGCTTCCTGAAGTGAAATATTATATGAGAATTATAAAAAAAAGGAAATGGACTTCAAACGGTTATAAATCTATAGTCCTTCGGTTGAAATCCTTGAAATTTCAGTCAAGGATACTTAGGATATTCCTTTGTATAATACGTATTCAAAAAGTATAGATTTTTGTTTGTTTATATATTAATTTTGATGTTTTATAAAATTTTACAAAGAAAAAACGTTAAATTAGTAGTATTAACATTAAATGCTAATAACTTTTTAGTCCTATTAGGAAATTCGTTGAAATTTTACAGAAATATACTTTTATTATCCCTCTGTATAATTCATGTTTAAAACATTTAAATTTATGCTTTATTTATATCATATTTTGATGTTTTATATAATTTTACACACAAAAAAACACAAAAATACAAATATCAACTTTAATCCCTAATAACTCATTAATCCTTCAACAAAAACCCTTAAAATTTCACCACAATATCCTCCAATCATTCCTCTATAACCTCCATATTTAAAACAATCACAAACCAGCTCAAAAACACAAATATTTTAATATTTTCTAAACATTTACACTCCCTTTGTGCTCCCAACTGTATACTACCCACCTTACACCCTCCAGCAACCTCAAAGTGGTGTAAATATTTAATCCTGTTCCTTGATTCCACCAAATTCCCACCCTTGAAGCCCTGCGATGTGATGCGATGCGCAAATGCACGACGCCACCACGCACGCGTCTCGCCGCCGCCGCCGCCGCCACATCCACCTTGTTTTGTTCGGCAAGGACGCGTCACGGCCATGAACTATTTAGTACAAGCTCGGGCAGGATCAGGATCAGGACGAATGTATCCCGCTCGTGTTAAACCTAGTGCGTAAAACCTCAAAACCATTCACCAACCAACAATAACATAATATAATAATGTGAAATAAAATAAATATGTGAAACAGGATAATGAAAAGGACAAAAACAGGATAATTCTGTGTCTGCTTGTGAATTTGTGATTTTGTGTGTCTGGAAATGTAGAAGTGACATGTGTCGATACGCCCGCGACGCACGCATTGTTCCACGTTTTTGTGCGAGCTGCAGAGGATACGCAGGACTCGCAGGACTCGCAGGATGAGGTGTAAAGCATGCTCATTGATTTTGTGCGGCGTGGTTGTGTGTGTAAGACGTGGACATGGATGCGAGATGAATGTTTAAACACTTAAACAAAAAGGTTAGTGAGATGAAATAAAATAAAAACAGGATTTTTTATTGTTGTTTTTTTTGTTATTGTTGGTTTTATGTACTCATAGTTGTATTGACGTTTAGCGTGCAACCAGGAATTAAATAGGTTTATTGTTGATTTAGTTGTGTTGTGTTTAATTTCAGAATTGTGTTGAGTTCAAGTTTGAAGGAAGCGAATTGGAACGCGATTTGTTTTTGTGTTTAGGAGCTAAGATATTCAGCGAATCGAATTGGGTTTTTGGTATTGTTTAGAGGATGAAATGGACTTTGGGTTTGGTTAGTAAAAGTGTGGTATTTGTTTTTGGTTATTAGGTTTATTGAGGTTTAATTAGTGGAAAACATATTTTAGTTGAATTTTTTGGTGAAAGGACAAAAAAAGTTTAAAAATTGTTTAATTTTGTAAATGGTATTTGGTAGATGATTAGTTGAAGTATATACCATGAAAAATTCAAGTTAATAGGTTTAAACAATAAAAAGTTATTAATGTTTAAAGTTGATTGTTGTTTGAGGAAGATGCAAGTTGAATAATGTTAAGTTACATTTTTATTTAAAAGTTATTTTAAGTATAGTAAAAATTAATATTTTAAAAAATTGTAAAATGTGGTTGATAGATAATTAGTTTAAGTATAAAAATCCAAAATATGAACATTTTTATATAGGGAGTTAAAAGTTATTCACGTTTAAAATTAAACCTTGTATTATGTCCCAAAACTATAAGACATTGTTATTATTTTTAATTTAAAATTACTTTTTGACATACTTAGGGTTAAAATATTAAACTTTAATAAAGAATGACTGATAGATAGTTAATTAAACTACCTATTGCAAAAAAATTTATCCAATTCTATACAGGGAGTACAAAGATATTCACGTTTAAAGCTGTAACTTATTTTTTACTAGAAAACTTTAAAAAATTGCATTTTTAATTAAAAATTTATTTTAGATACACTTAGAGTTAAAATATTAAACTCTTATAAAAAGTAGTTTATAGATAATTAATTAAACTACCATCTGCAAAAAAATTCATTCAATTATATACAAGGAGTACAAAGATATTCATGTTTAAAGTTGTTACTTGTTTTACACCACAAATCTGACAAAATGAGTATGGTTTTTAATTTAAAATTAATTTTAAATATAGTTAGAGTCAGAATATTAATCCTTTATAAAAAGTATCTGATAGATAATTAATTAAACTACCTTTTGCAAAAAAATCATCCATTTATATACAGGGAGTATTATGTTATTCACATTCAAACTCCATCTTACTTATTCTATTCCATACTTTTATCACTGACATTGACATTGACATTGAAAGCACAAAACCGCATACAAAATGAAAGTTTATTCATAATTTCAACCATTTGCATTGTTAAATGACGCAATTGTAATAAATCCACCGGCGTATTCTTAGAACACATTAAAAACAAGATGACTTTTATCGCCTTTCAATCATTGCTTCATTGAAAATACCCACAAAAACAAAATTCGAAACCAGAAACAAGTTCTTGTACGGATAGTGTAAACCTTGAATGGCTCGAATTGTACAATAAGTGAACTTTAAGGTTAAAACTCTAGAGTTCATGCACAATTTCGTGAGAGTTACACCTCCTGACCTTGCATGATTCAATAAACTCTCGCTTACAACCGAAAATGTAAATTTTTCGCCTCTTGGAAGTGATTTTGAGGTTAAAGTATATTGTGTTGGTATATTCGGCGAATGCTGGGAATTCCTCAACGCCAGACAATAATATTTCATTGCAAATAGTTTATTTTAAGAGCAAACAAATCAATTAGTGCATTTTTTGTATGTTTTTTTTAATAAAATAATTTTATTGATTTTATTGTTTTAGTTGTAAAAAAAGAAATGAAAATGGTGGAAATTAGTTGATTTTTTAATTGTATCTGATAAAATATTGGTTGATATGTATATCTACCAAATTTCATTGTTTAATATACAGGGAGTTAAAAGTTATGATGATTTAAAGTTTAAAATGGTAAAAATAATAATTTTTATTTTAAAAATTAAAATAAAATAGTTACTGTATAATTTTTGTATATTTTAGAGGTAAATTTGATAGAGTATTAAATTAGCTTTGTTTTGGTAAAAATTTGATGGTTATATACACAGGGAGTAGAAAATTACAAGAGTTTAAAGATGTTATTGGATTTTTGTTTTTGTAATTTGTGCGTTTTTTGTGAAAAATCAAGGAAAAACTTAATTGAAAGGTTAGAATTTTTGGATTTTTTAATGCTATCTGATAAAAGATTAGTTGATATGTATATTTACCAAATTTCAATATAATATATACAGGGAGATAAAAATTATGACGATTTAAAGTAAAAAAGTTAAAAATAACTAAAAATATCAATTTTTTATTTCAAAAATTCACAAAAAATATTTAGCTAATTATTTTTAAATATTTTAGACACCAAGTAGATAGAGCATTAATTAAGCTTTATTTTAGTAAAAATTGACAAAAATATATACAGAGGGTAAAAAGTTATTTAAGTTTAAAGTTGATTTTTTGATATTTTTTCATCATTATTTAAAAAAAATCAATAAAAAAAACAAATTTAAAGGTTAAAATCTATAGTTTCCAACACAAATTATTTATTCCAAGAGCAAACAAATCAATTAGTGCACTTTTTGCATGTCTCTCCCATTCACAATAACAAAATAACAACCAAACAAATCCATTCAAGCAGACGATTGTGGTTTCACACGATAATTGCGCATAATTTGTTCCAGATGTGAAAAAAACGTGTTAATTTGACACAACAAGGAAGTCGATGACTAATTATGGGTAGTCTACCCAATCTACATGAACTCGGCAAGGAGCACTTGGTCCAGAGTGCGCATCCGAAGATCGGACCGGCCATCAGCAATCCTTATCAGCACAGTGTGGGCCATTCGATACTGAGTCAGGAGGAACGGAATAAAATACTGCACAGGCATTCGACGCATTGTAAAACTAAGAGGAGCACGCAAGATGGCCGCCGGAATCATCATGGACACGCTCAAGGTCAAGGACAGGGTGGGAATTATGATGATCTTGTTTTGGAGGTAAGAAAATGGGATAAATGAGAGGGAATTTTGAAAGTTTTAAAATGGGGATGTGTAGGGGTTAGTTGAGGTATGCATTGTGAAAATTTGAAGGTTGTATATACAGGGAGTAGTAAATTATAGGTGTTTAAAGTTTTTTATTGTGGTTTTTAAGAGTTTTTTTATGAAAAATTGATGAAAAACGTGATTTTGAGGTTAAATTTTTTTAATTTTTTAATTGTATTTGATAAAGTATTAGTTGAAATGTATATATACCAAATTTCATTGTTTTATATACAGGGAGTTAAAAGTTATGACAATTTAAAGTTTGAACTAGATAAAAATATCAAATTTTTTTATTTCAAAAATTCATAAAAAATATTTGCTTTATCTTATTTTGATATTTTAAAAGCTAATTTGATAGACAATTAAATAAGCTTTATTTTTGTAAAAATTTTATGGAGATATATATAGGGAGTATTAAGTTACACGCGTTTAAATTTATGTTTTGGTGTTTTTCATGCAAATTTATTGAAAAATCATTAGAAAATTTAATTTTGAGGTTATAATTCCTAAATATTTTAATGGTATCTTATAAAAGATTAGTCAATAATCATATCTACCAAATTTCAATGAATTATATACAGGGACTTAAAAATTATGACACTTCAAAGTTCAACATCCATAAAAATTCATTTTATTTTTCAAAAATTCATAAAAAATACTTCCAAATAAATTTTCAAAAAATTCAAAAAACAAATTAATAAACCATTAAGCAAACTTCACTTTACTAAAAAATTCAATCAAATACCTCTTAAAAACCTCTGAGTTACAACCAATCAAACTTCACACTCACATAAAACCTCAAAAACAATATACAGGATGATTCCAAAACACTAATAATCTCAAAAAATTTCCAGCACATGGCAACATACTCACCGATCTCCTCCCGCTCAGCCCGCAACTACAACTCCACCCGGCGTCGCGACTCAATGAACTCCTCAATCGGCGCCAACAGCGTGCGCCGCCTCATCGCCGTCGTGCGCCACACCTCCAGCCGCACAGGCCCCGCCTTCTCCCGCCCCGTACTCATCCGTAACCTAATCCTATTCTGCACAACACACATCCTCATCACCGCCTCATTCCTACCATTTCTCGCTTTACAAGGCGCTGTAACCACATGGATCAAACCCATAGGCTCCTCCCATCTACCAATCAACATCGGCTCCCTACTCCTGGCACTCATGCACATCTTCGCTGCGATTGGCGCAATCCTCGGCCCGGTGATCATTCAGAAACTCGGCACGAATTGGATATTCGTCATTGGATACTTTTGTTTCTTCTGTTTCTACGTCATACATCTCTACCCGGTTTTGAGTTTACTGATGTTAGGTTATGTTGTGATGGGAGTATGCCTTGGACCACTTTGCGTTGCACGTGTGACATTCCTAATGACCTTGAGCACGAAGTTAAACTACATTTTTGGTGAAGAGGATGAAGATGTTAAGGCTGGACGCAGGACTTGTATTGTACGACGGGTTGCCAGGAGTTTTCAAGCTGCGCAAGATGTTGGATTGATTTTTGGATCACTTTTAACTGCTATAGTTATAAATCTCACGCTGAATTTGAAATTCGACTGGTTGGTTGTTACGTCCACGTCGAGTGTGAGTTTAACGTCGGCAACCAACTATACACCTTTCAGTGTGTATGCGCCGGCGAGTCCCAATGTAACCTCGAATTATTCGTACACGTACAGTCAGTTCCTCGATGAGTTATTCGTGCAGGATGAGTTTGGTGATCGGATTTGTGGTGCGCAAACATGTCCGCCGGAAAGTGGTGTGATTAGGAGTGGAAGGAGTGTGCTGCCGGATGTTACGATGATGCTGTTGTTGGCTGTGAATGCCACAATGGCCGTGATTGCGATGAGTATGGCGTTGTTTTTGAATAAGATCAAGCTGTATATGTACCAGGAGGGGAATGAGACCATGGCGGCGATGAGGGCCATTGGGCAGGGGTTTAAGGATCCGGTGTTGAGGATTTCGGCGCTGCTGGCGTTTTTTATTGGTGTGGAACAAGCGTTTATGTATACGGATTTTTCCAAGGTCAGTGGTGTGATATTTTTTTAAATTTAGGATATGGGCTTGAAAAATGAAGGAATTTAAATTTTTAAAAAGTGTGTTTTGTAGAGGATTAAATGAGGTTTATTTTGTGAAAATTTGAGAGTATTTGAAAAAAGGATTAGGGAGATACAGGACTTTAATGTTGAGTTTTGCTATGAGAATTTTTAAAAATTGAACATAAAATTTTCAAATTTCAAAGGAGGTTATTTATAATAAAATTTTTGAAATATTTTGATGGTATGTGATAAAGGATTAGTTACACTATTTATAACCAAAATTTTGTGTAAATATATACAGGGTGTTCCGAGTTATAAGCTTTCAAAGTTACCATTAATTATTTTAAGTCAATGGTGTGATATATTTTAAATTTAGGATATGGGCATGAAAAATGATGGAATTTAAAATTTTTAAAAGTGGGTTCTGTAGAGGGTTAAATGAGGTATATTTTGTGAAAATTTGAAGGTTATTCGGAAAAGGATAACGGAGTTACAGGGCTTTAAAGTTTAGTTTTGCTATGAAATTTTTTAAAAATTGAACATAAAATTTTCAAAACTCAAAGGAGGTTATTTATAACCAAAATTTTTAAAATATTTTGATGGTATGTGATAAAGTATTAGTTAAACTATATATAACCAAAATTTTGTGTAAATATATACAGGGTGTTCCGAGTTATAAGCTTTCAAAGTTACCATTAATTATTTTAAGTCAATGGTGTGATATATTTTAAATTTAGAATATGGGCATGAAAAATGAAGGAATTTAAAATTTTAAAAAGTGGGTTTTGTAGACGATTAACTAAGGTTTATTTTGTGAAAATTTGAAGGTGTTTGAAAAAAGGATAAGGGAGTTACAGGACTTTAAAGTTTAGTTTTGCTATGAGAATTTTTAAAAATTGAACTAAAAATTTTCAAATTTTAAAGGAGGTTAGTTATAATCAAAATTTTTAAAATATTTTAATGGTATCTGATAAAGGATTAGTTGAACTATTTATAACCAAAATTTCATGTAAATATATATAGGGTGTTCAGAGTTATACTCTTTCAAAGTTGATATCAATATTTTTAGGTACAATTTGACTTAAATTTTTAAAACCTTTAAAAACTATACTTAAAATTTAAATTTTTAAATTTTGTAAAAATAATTTAAAAGACAAATAATCAAAATATACTATACCAAAATTTCATCTTTCTAGCCCTTATACTTTAAGAGATATTTGATATCAAAGTTGCAACAAAAAAAAATTTAATTTTAACTCCCTAAAACCTGTTTTATGATAAATTTATGCTTCCAGTTTTACGTCGTCTGCACCCTGGGCCTCCACCGTCTAAATTTGGTCTTCCTATCAATGGGTCTCCTTCAATCCATAGCTGCCTGCACCCTAAGTATGCTCTTACGGACGATACGGCGCTATTACGTAATTTGTAAGTAAAAAACAAAAATCACTAAATATTCATCAATATTCTAACCTAACTTAAACCCTAGTTGTTGGTTTCGCCTTCCACGCATGTCTTCTCATGGTCCAACTCCTCTGGAAGCCATTGGGCGATGACCCCGCCCTGTTTTACGTCATCAGCGCCGCATGGGGCGTCTGCAACGCCGTTTGGGAGATGATGAACTTCAGTAAGTCCCAAAACACACCCAAAATACTCAAAATAATAGTAAATAATTGTGGTTATGTTAGCATTGTTGACAAGCATCTACACGGACAACTGGGAAGCGCCATTTGCGCATTGCATCACATTTCGCTTCCTGGGCATCGCAATGGCGTTCGCATTCCATGGATACGTCTGCACCTGGTTGAAACTCTACCTAATGGCGGCGTTATTGCTATGCGCAGTGATCCCGTCCGCCATTTTGGAGCGTAAGCTGGAGAATATGCGGCGTGTGCGTGGCGCCAGCCGCTTATGACCCAGATTCAAAGTGTGGTGACCGATCTGCCCTCTGGTGCGACTCGACTGCATGCCGAATGTCATTCTGATGACTACAATCACTTAAAACGATGTTAAATGTTATGTGCACGCCCTGTATGCATATTGGACAATCATGTTTTGACGTTTCGACATTTTAACGTATGCAACCAGTTGCACGTATTGACATATCTTGTGCCAAACCAGAAATTGTGTTTTGATGAAGTTTTTTGATGATTACTCGAAAACTATAAGAGATAGAGACATGATCTTTTCAGGTATTGATTAACAATTAAATTTTACAACTAATTGTATTAACAAATCACGATAAATGTTTTTATTTAATAATTTATCAACAAAACAAAGTTAAACTATGAAAATTTTAGTTTTTTGTTTATAACTTTTAAACAAAACAAGTTTTCAACTTTATTTTTTCATAAATATCTTCATAATTTAATAACAAATCAATATCTGAAAAGAAAATTGTTCTATCTTGTTTACTTTTCGAGTAATTCATAAAAAACTAACAAAAAACATGTTTCAGACCGTTAAACTTCACTTAACATACAAACTAAAACCTAAAAACTTTGTAAAACGTTGTAAAACATTATAAACTAAGCCCAAACAGCTAAACACATACGAAATGCTTTGCTAACCATGTTACAAACGTACTTTTAAGCGAAATTTGTGAATATATACCACATGAGTGAGATAAAACGTAACTTAGCGAATGTTTTAGAGATTTTCAATGTTTTTATTGTGATTTATTGTATCATACGTACATTTACAACGTGTCTCATCTGTTTACACAAGCTGCAGACGCTGAAAAACGCGTGCTTTGTGTAAATATTGATCTACACGCGTTTCAAGAAGAAAAAACTGTGATTTCGTGTATTCAGGCGTGGTAATTGTGTAAAAATGAAGTATTTTTAATCGACTAAGAGAATATTAACAGATAAATCAATAAAGACATGTTTCATTAACAATAAACAAGCGGAAGTGTTTGATTTCAATCGGTTTTGACCTTGGATTACTTGTGTTTTATTCTTGGGGCTCTTGGATGCAAAAATTTCGCTAAAACAACAAAAAACGTTGAAATTTTTAAGGAAATTGTTGGAATTAAGCAGTGAAACTTACGGAATATGGCATCCATGAGTTTGACAATGTTTTCCTTCTGCGGGACATTATATCTTCCAGCTGATACGTCTGTAATTAATAAAATTAGCAACAAAATGATGAAAATTTTAATTTACTCACCGGAAATCAATAAAACTCCGATAAATAGTACTGCAAATAATAATATAAGCTTCATGGTGTATTAAGTAACTCTTTTGGTACTCAAAACACTTTTAAAATGTTTTAAAACATTTAAAACAACGATTTTATATGTAAATTTGTAAAAAAGTCAATATTTGTTTAAATTGATAACATTTTAAGCTTTTTGCGTCATTCCAGAGCTAAAATTTACATAAACATGCGTTATAATGATTAAATAATATTAATTTATTGTTATTTCTTTAAAATTTAATGATTTAAACGTTAAATTCAATGATTTTAAGTCAATAATTAAATAAATCATAATTTTCTCTTTTAAAGGTGTATATATGGTTGCCTATAGTTAGGTTTTAATAATTAAATTTATTTTTATCATTTTAATGGCATTTCTACACATTGAAACAAAACAAAATTAAATGTAAGCAATTTATAAATATATAACACATAAATAAAACGTATTTTAACATAAATAACAATAAATATTTGTTTTTCTGTTTGAATTTTTTGGTTTCCTGAGGTTGGCAGCATGCAAACTGTTTTGCCTGCTACTGTACACTAACCGTTGCCCTAACCGTTGAGTGTACATTTCGTTCCGTTGTTTTTTCAAGTTTTTACTGTGTTCCAAGCCGAATTGCATTGTGATTTATAGTGAAAACTGTTTAAATACGTGGATCTGGTGTGCCGGCTGATCCTCCGCTCGTCGAGCAAGGATTTTGTGTGTAGAACAGCTTGAATCCACGACCGGTACTCGCTGCGTTCGTTCTCACCGGGATTATGATCGGACCACCGCTTGTATCTACAAAATAAACAAATAAACAACAAAATAATCAATAGTAAGTGAATAAATTACAGTTTTACAAATTAAACATTTGACATAAATTTAAATTTCGCGGGTGTAACGAAAATTTCCGATGATACACGAATAAAAATCACCCATAGCAACCGCGCGTTGCCCATGGCAACGGAATCAACAAGCGCAACCATCTTGAATTTCACGCGTTCCCTGCGCGTTCATTTGAATTCAAACCGTTGTAACAGTCAGACGCGTATTTAATAATCAGTGATTAAACAATGAAAAAAGTAATCACCAGTGACTGGAGCGTTGGCAGAGAAGTCATCAATGAGAGAACCATCGTTGAGACGATCACCGCAGAGCCGTATACCATTCACGACGATGTAATCATCCGGGCAGTTAATCACGCCAGCACCGGCTTGGCCGGCCGGCACCGTCAGGCTGCCATCTTGAAAAAATAGGTAAAGTAAATTTTCATTCTCAAATTACACATAATCATAACTACCATCATCGAAATTACGAAGCTGAAAAGGGTATACAACTCCATTGGGGCCTATATTCGTGTATGTAATCGAACAGTATCCAGGCTGGCGTCGTATGCAAATTGCATAGTTCAGATTGTTCTAGAACAATATGAAAAATGAAAAAATATACCGAGTGTGACAAAAAATTTCATGGCATAATAAAAATACTTACAAAATACCCAGGCATGCTTCTACTCAATGTCGCTGCTTGATCATAATTAAAACTTTGAATTGTGCCAGTCACGCCCGAATATGACTGTAGACAATTCATCAAACCGCTACATCCGTCTGTATATTGACATATTCTTATTTTATAACGCTTGCGGTTTACTACATTAGCCAGCACAGCGAGTTGTAGAGGTCCGGATAGATTACTAACATCCACAAGCACTAAAAACAAAAATTTTAAATATTTTAAGGTTAAATTAAGGTTAAAAGCGTAGAAAATAGGTTATGTTGTAATACCATGTTGGCCTGTGTTGTATCCACATATAGGAGGCACGCCACTGGTTAATCCACTGCCACTGATAATCAGTGACTCATTCACGCAAACACCATTCGTCGGTCCGGATAATTCCAAGTCAATAAAATCGATGCGCATTTGTCTCACGTTATCTGATGATTTATAAACACGGAAAATACAGGATAATGCATTTGCTGTTTCGGATTGGCGACTCTCAACAGTTAAGAATTGTAGGCTAGGGAAACGTGGATCTGGAGTTAAAGGGTTGGATGTGGTTGACGTGGGGACAACCACGCCGCCATCTTGCGGGAAATAATTCGGGTATCCTGGGGACTCGAAATAGGTGCAATTGTTTGATCCTACGCCTCCACAAGTTCCACGGACTGAAAATACATTTAAAAAATTAAAAAAATAGTAAAAAGTTAAGAATATTAGATAACAAGTGCGCTAAGTGACACTTTAATAACGTCTAGCGTTGTTTTTCTACTTTCACTTTATTTCCACGTTGAGTTTTCAATTTTGTGTTTCAATTTTGTATTCTAAACTCAATTCTGTGACTAAAGTATTTTAGTCACGACCGTGACTAAAGTGCACTTTTCATGTTTAGCTACCCAATACTCCGTAGGTATATACGCAGGCGCAAACTCCACCCCGTGGCTAAAATACTTTAGTCACGACCATGACTAAAGTGCATATTTCATGTTTTCATGAAAAAAAATAGAAGCAAAAAACAGGTTATGTAATTACTTACAAACACAACAGACGCCATGTCCCTCCGCACACATCCCCATAGCGACTCCATTCCTCTCCGCGCACTCCGAAGCCAAATAACAAGTGCCCTCATATTGACTCACCGCCGAATTCGCCTGACACTTGAAATTCGCGAATTGTATCACGGTAAACAAGCTCAGAAACTTATTAGCGATGTGTTTTGTTTTGTTCTTTATAGTCTCCAACGGCCCGTAATCATGCCCCAAGAGGAACTTCTCAGATCCCTCATGCAGCTTCACCGAGGTTTGTAATTCCGTCTTTTCTCATCACCTCCCAACCAATTAAAGGTCCTATCATTCACATTATTACCATTCTGTTTCCTGTTTCTTCTATTATTCGCATTCCGCGTATTATTTCGCATTTTAATCAAATATTTACGAATTAAATTGGTCACTTTTAATTTATCTCCGGTACGATTAATCTCAGCTGATAGTTTACCCACATGATGTTTATTTATTTTATTATTTTGTGTTGGTTTGGAAGGTTTTGGGATTCTTTTGACGTTACCTTTGCGTTTTTTATGTTTATCTATGGTCGTGGAGACAATTTCACCGAAATCACTCTCAAGGTCATCGTGTTTATCTTCATCGATGGTGAAATCAACGTAATCAGGCGGTAGGATTATTGTTTTATTTCTTCTGTTACCACTGTGTGGACTTAGGGAAGACCCTGTATAAAATGAGGGTCTATGTGATACAATTTCCATAAAATTGTTAAGATCTAGTAGATTTGTGGGGTTAGACACGTGATTTATCGATGCCTGCGCTTGTAAATCGAAATTATTTTGATAATTTTCTGTATTTTGATGTGTTGATTCAAAAGTTCCATATTCTGACTCTAGCACATCATCGGAGTTAATATTTTCGGTGTTTTCGTGATTAGTATAGTCGTGGAAGTGGTTCCAGTAGTTATCGTCAGCGCTATCAAAATGGCCGCTCTGGTAACCGTAATAATCATCTCTTTTTTCTTTTTCTTTGTGTTTTTCTTGTTTTCTGGTGTCGAAATTAATTTGTGTGCTTGCTTTGGCCGTGATAGTCCTTGGTATATTTCCTACTTCCGGTTGGGTGTTCATTTTGAGTGTTTTGGTTAGAAATTCCGACGAGTCTGGTGGATTTACATCCAAATGTCGACTTTCTAATAGTCTATTGTAATCCTTCAAGACTTCCTGCGTGTTTGGATAGTTTGTGAAGATGTCGATGACTTGTTTCGTACCAGTCGCCATTGCACACATTATTAATATTAATGTTAGTACACTATGTTTAATAATAATAATTGACGCCATTTTTAAATTTTTAATTTTTTATTTTGAGCAAATTTTATTTTTTTAGTTTTTTTGTTGTTGGTCGATTGAAAGTTATCACAAAACTGATTCGTTTCTTGCGACATTCACCACTAAATTCGCTCCTCGGCTGCTATTGTTTACTGTCACCAAGAAGGGGATATAAACGACGGTTAATGTCTAATGACAGAAACAGAGCGTGATTGTTTTCTGCCGCACTACCCGCGCATTGCATGTCTGTGTCTATGGCTTGCGTTTTTTTTCGTTTGTGTTTTGTATTTCTATTGCTTCCTTGGTGCGCTAAACGTTTTCTCTTGTTTTATTTTTTTCTATTTTTGCATTTCGCGTCTTCTTCCTTCCTTCTACCTGTATGTGTTGTTAGTGCGGTTGGTCGCATATGAAATTGATAACGTGCGCGCGTCGCGCATCCAACATGTCATGATCCAGTTAACGCGCTCTTGACATTTCTACCAGACACAAACGCACACAAACTTGTTCATCTTTATATTCATAGTCTATGGTATGAATGATGATGATTATACGCTGTGGATAGTATTGTTTGGATGAGAATTGTTGGTTGGTTAGGTTATGACTGGTTTTCGGTGTATATACAGGGTAGACTGATGAATAAAGATGAAAAGAATGCAGGAATGAATGAAATATTTGTTGTTGTTTTGCCATGCGCATAATTTTGATAAACGGTATTTATCGTTGGGTGGATACAAGGTGTTTCAGGATTATACAGGGTAGAAATGAGGGTAAAAATAAGAATTTAAGTGTTTTGTTGGGTTTTATTGGTTGTATATGATTAGTATTGTCGCTTGTGGTCGTATGATTTCAATAGGCATATGTGACAATACTAATGCTTATTCTGGTATTAATAGTATTGTCGCACGTGGCTATATGAATTTAATAGGCTTATGTGACAATACTAATTCATTTTAAGCCGAAAAATGCTAGAGAAAAAGTTGATTTTAACCGTAAAATCACGATTTTGGTAAAAATTACATAAAATTTAATGAAATTTTTATTGAAATAATTGAAAAATTGTTGAAATTTAAGTGATAATCAATTTTATCCTTACTAAAAGTGCACTAGTAATTTCTAGACAATTTTGTTTAATGTTTCACGGGTCAATTTCTAAAAATGAAAATATTTTTCATTGTTAATCATTGGGAATTAATATAAACCAACTAAAGTGGTACCAAAGTGGTAATGATTATTTTTTTATTTTGAACACTCGGTATGTTTGTTTTACTAATCGTTTAAACGTTGTGATCGCTGGAAATTAAATTCAGACGCAGAATGACAACAAAAGCCGGCGGATTTTAACGCGAGAAGATTTAAATCACATGAATGCGGAGCGAACGCGGACACCGAAGTGAAAGAAGTGAAACTTGATGGCGATTAATAATAATTACGCGCATTTTCACTTATATTAAAATAATTTTCAAACATTTTAACGTTTATTGCTATAAACATTGCTTTCTGCATGAATTAATACTGCGTTTACTTTGCGTTAACCCTTTTAACTTATAAACAACCCGCAAAAAGTGGTGGGGGAAGTTATGTACACTCTTGTACAAATTTCCGGCATTTTTAGTAATTATTCTTCTTTTTTATAAAAATAAATATTAATATTAATAAATCGTATTTGCGTACGCATTTTTTTAGATCGCATGCGTGTAAGTTATAAAAAATATAAAATAACGAAATTGTTAAAGATTACAATAAGTATCTAACGTAAAATACGAAAAAAACAGCAAAAAATACCGTAAAAATCGCCATTAACTTAATAACCATGCATGTGGAAGCATAATTTGGAGAAATTTCTTCAAAATAACAGAATAATCCACGTATTAAATTAAAATTCATAAAAATTATCCATAAATTCATTAAAATAAACATACTCAACAAGATTTTTATTCATTTTTTGAAAAAAATATTAATTTACAAGTTAAATTTCAATAGAAACTATCATAACGCGATAAAATTCGCACTAATTCCATCAAAAACTCATAAAAAATCGCACCTCAAGGAATAAGAGCAGAATAATTGGATAATTACGATTTGTAACATTGTAACATTTTAACTTTCATGATCACTTTAATACTCTGCCACTCAAAAACAATAAAACCAGCGTTTTAGTTCTTGTTTTGAACTTTTTACGTGCAGTTGACACATTTTATCAACCAGCTGTTAACAATTTATTATCCCATTAATTTCAGCCTAAAAAAACGCTAAATTTCGATATTTTATTGCCTGACTTGTCAAATTTCAACAAAACATTAAATTATTATACATTTTTAAACATTTAAACTGAAATTATTGAGCACAGCGAGTGTTTTTAGTGATAATTCGCAAGAATTTCCAACTCAACGCGAAACTTACGGTATTCGTATATTTCAATCCGTACTCCGGGCATTCCGGTCAGTACTCAGTGCGCATCAACTGGCACAATAAGTGCATAAACTAATTACGCGCAAAACGCATGAAAAACACGCAAAATTATCAAAAAATCGATGTATTTTTAAGTAAAAACACTGAAAATACACATCATTAGCGATAATTGTGCATTTTCTTTAAAATATTTCAACTTGTAGTGTGTATTTTCATGTAGTGTGAGTATTGTTGTTGTAGTTGTAGTGTTTTGATGCTGTGTCATTGGCTGCTTGCAACGGTGCGGCTTACAACAGCTGATCGCGTGCATAGTTTGCATCATTCGCATCATTTGCATACCACGCGCTGCGACGCATAAAAACACATCAAATTCTACGATCATATTGTCTACTACACTTGTTTCTCTTTAAAAAAATCAAACTATAAACATTCAGATGTAAATATTCATTGATTTTGTTGTGAAAATGTGAGATTTTAAGTGATTTTAGTGAAAAACTTCAAATTTAAGGTTTTTTTAATGATTGTGTGGTAAATATGGTGTGATAATAATTTATTTGTTTGTTTTAGTGGGTAATACTAATGGGGACACAAGTTTCGACAAGGATTTTGTCATGTTCGGGATGACAATTGATGACAATGACAGAAATAAGCATCAATTGTGTGTGATATGTTGGATAAAAACATAAAACGAAGGATTTCTTCAATAATCTACTACTGAACAGTGAGTAATGCATTTTATTCTTTGTATTATTGTTTAATTCACAAAATTAAACAAATTGTAAGTGTCATAGGTTAGTAGGGCATTCACGGTGTAGTAAAATGTGTATGGTGGGTTGCCTAGTGTGACTGGCACGAGTATAGTATATACTGAGTGTGGCAATAAAATTTCGTAGGTTTTTTAAGTTTAAAATTTTTATTTTTAGTTTTTGAGTTGTGTTGGTTACACATGGTAGGAAATGTTCATTTGCATAATTAATTAAAACATGCTTGGTCACTTTACGCGCATTGTCCATTGTATTTCCGCGTGTGTGTCGCTCGTCGGCGGCGTCGGTCGTCGGGTGTAATTCTTAAATTTAAATTCATCAACGGTTTTTAATGATGATGCATATTAATATAGGAGATATTATTTAACATGCGAGATAATGCGTTTCGTGCGGCGCGCCACGCGTTTAATCATTTTAATTAAAACAGAACGACGACGGCGCTCACGGCGAGTGGTGATATATATCTAGGTGGATTTTACGTAAGTTTTTTTAAGGATATTATTAGTTTAGATTAGTTTAGAGGGGTGGAATTAAAAGTGGTGGGTGGGGTATTAAAAGAGGTGTAATTTTATGTAAGATTTGTTTGATTGGTGAAAATGGTTTAGTTTTTATTGAGAAAAAATGCGGAAAAGCATGAAAAGTAGTGTTTTTAGTAGTTTTTTTGTTATAACTTTTGATTAAATTAGTTTTGCGGGGTGAAATTAACCTATTTTGGTGTAGTATGAAAGGGGTTATCATATAATATAATACTTAATTAATAATTTTTAGTAGTTTAGCATTTATTGATGAGAAAATGTGAAAAAATGATGAAAATTGCGTTGTTTTCGGATAATTTTTACAATAACTTTTGATTAAATTGCTGTAAAGGGGTGAAATAAACATATTTTGATGTAGTATTTAAAGTACTATCATATAATATATGATTTAATTAATAATCTCTAATAGTTTAGCTGTTATTGTTAGAAAAATGCGCAAAATTGCATTATTTTCTTAATAATTTTGCAATAACTCTTCAAATAATAACTTTAGAGACATGAAACAAAAGGGAGTAGATGTATTATTAAAATAACTATAATTTGATATGTGACATGAATAATTATCAATAATAGTTTTGTTTTTATTATCAAAAAACTGCAAAAAATCGCAAAAATGCGTTATTTTCAACTCATTTTTACAATAATTTTTAAAATAAGAACTCTATCGACTTGAAACAAAAACATATAAATGCTTTATTAAAATATCTATAATTTGATGTGCCATATGAGTAATTATCATAAATAATTCCGGTTTTATAACAAAAAATTACAAAAAATACTAAACTATATGCAACTTTATGCACTTTTAAAATTTTTACGCATTTTAATCATACAAAACTAAGAACTTTTTCATATAATAAAATTTATCCTTGCTAATTTATGGCTTAAACAAATAGTTCATAACAATACGTATGAAAGGTGCGTGTAATTGCACTCGCCTTGACATTCGACGACGCGCTGTCTCTTTAACTCATCCGTAAACCGTTTCAACATAATCATCACTTCCTTTGTCAGCCGCAAGTCGGATTTATTTGTTCACTGCTCTTGCTGCTCGTACTTACTTACTTACTCTGCGCATCGATCATCGCACGATGAGGCGATTGGTCGAGGAGCAACAGGCGATGCTGCAATTACGAGTACTCTACACGCCGGACACGCTGCACACACGCGGTCAAACTTATCCATTTATTTATTCCAAGCGTATTCATAGTCAGTGCACATTTGGTTGCCTATCATACACAGGAACACTTAAACTCAACATAACCAAGGTTTGCACTTAATATTTATAAGATTAAAGTGTTAAAATACACAAAATTTCGGATAACATTTTAAGAATTTATTAATAATATTTGATTAAATTATCAGATAATTGTGAAATAAGTTTTATTTGGTGCGCAATTAAAAGACCTTTTGTCTGATATGTCACTTAACTAATTCTCAATAATTTTAAAGATTTTATTCGCAAAAAATCTAATAAAAATATTAAAAATTTCGAAATTTTTGTTGAAATTTGTTAATATCTTTTGACATAATTATTGTATAATCATGAAGTAAGTTTTAGTCGATGTTTAATAAAAAGATCTATCGTTTGATATGCGACTTGACTAATTTTCAATAAATTTAATGGTTTTATTTGCAAAAATTCTGAAAAACATACGAAATGTCAAAATTTCCAAATTTGTTGATATCTTTTGACTAAATTATCATATAATCATGAAATAAATTATATTTTGTGCACAATTAAAAGACCTATCATATGATATATCACTTCTATAATTTTCAATAATTTCCAAGATTTTATTCGCAAAAATTCGAAGAAAAACATTAAAAATTTCAAAATTTCTTACAAATTTCTTAATATCTTTGGTCATAACCATCGTACAATCATAAAATAAGTTCTAATTGATGCGTAATTTATACTTAATACTTACACAACTCAATAATTAGGTGTCATTATAGTAGAAGGTGATAAATCCGATCAAATATTAACTCTAATCACTCGATACATGTAAATGTATCAAAATGCATGTTGTTGTTTCGTGGGGTATTAGCGGGCATCAGTGTCCGCGGCGTGATTATCTAATAGCTAATCCGATGCGACGGCATGCCACTATGCCACTCGCCGCTGTTATCATTTGTGCTTTTTTATGCGAGCGTTGCTACGCATCGAATATAATCCGTGGTGCGCGCCGCGCTTTCCAGTCGTTCGGACACTGTCGCAGTCGAAGCACAAATCACACAAAACAAAAAAAATAAATAAAATTATAAAAATTAAATTATTAACAGTGGTGTGTGTGCTTTTCACTTGTAGAGGGTGGTGATTTATGTTGGAGGTGCTCGCGGCGTGTGCACTCTGCGTCTTCTTGCGCCGCATATTCGTCTGGTGGTTCGCGCAGCCAGCTGTGGACGAAATTGGGAAGTCGAAGAAGAACAGCAGCCGGAAGGCAAGGCGGAACGCTGAGAGGAAAGCCGTGGCGGATGGTAATACAACGGAAGAGGACGGATTAACGGTAACAACGGCGCAGATTAACTCAAGTAAGTAAATATAAGTAAATATTTGTTAATTTACACGCAAAAGTAAAATTTCCCAGGTTCCCAGGTGGATTTGTATAATATTTGCATGGAAATCAATTGTTTAATATACGAACGTAGTTGTCCTGCGGTTGTCCTTGACCCTGCAGACGTAGCTCACCTTAAAACGCGTAGAATCCGCTTTAATCGACATTTCCACTGATTATTTGGTTGCATAATTTTATTATGCAGTTGTAATATAAACACGCGAGTGTGGTTTTAATTTTTTAATTTTAATTATAAATTGATTATTTTTTGTAGATTTAGAGGAGTCGGAATCTCTGTGCACGCAAAAGTCCGAAGAAAGTGACGATTTTGTGCTCATTGAGGATATTAGCGAAGCAGAAAAAGAGATGGCTGCCACACCGGTGCAATGGACGTTGGGGGAGGAGCAACACCGTGAAGAGTCGGAGGATGTCTTTCCGCATAATGGTATTGGGGAGAATCCACCGCCAGCGGCGCCGTCTGATGGCAAAGGGTTGAATAGGGATCAGCAACAGGAGTTGGATCGGAAAAGACGCACATTGAAGTGAGTTTTTTTATAATTTTTATTATAACACTCGGTGGAATTTGTTAAAATGGTTGAAATTAGTAAAAGTAGGTGGGGTACTTGATTAGGTATCGCATGATATGCAACATGGGTATTTAAGAATAATTTTGAAGATTTTATTCGTGAAAATAGTAAAAAATTTTAGAAAAAAATTTAAATTTTTGAAGTTTTTTGTTGATATCTTTTGATGTAATTATTGTATAATCATGAAGTAAGTTTTATGTGATGCGCAATGAAAAGATCTATCGTTTGATATGCGATTTTACTAATTTTCAATAATTTTAATGGTTTTATTTGCAAAAAATCAGAAAAAATGCAGAAATGTCAAAATTTCGAAATTAATTTATATCTTTTGACTTAATTATCGAATCATCGTGAAATAAGCTTTATTTGGTGCGCAATGAAAAGACCTATCGTTTGATATGCCACTTCGTTAACTTTCAATAATTTCAAAGATTTTATTCGCAAAAATTCGGGAAAAAAATTGAAAATTTGCAAAAGTTTCTGTCGAAATTTGTTAATATCTTTTGACATATTTATCGCACAGTCTTGAAATAAGTTTTAATTTATCCGTATTCAAAATACCTATCGTTTGATATGTCACTTGATTAATTATCAATAATTCCAAAGATTTTATTCGCAAAAATTCGAAAAAAAAATCAAAAAAATCCAAATTTTCAACGTAACTTGTCAATATCTTCTGACAAAATAATCATATAATGATGAAATAAGCACCATTCTACGCATTATAAAATTACCTATCGTTTGATATACCACACGATTATTTATCTTTAACAATACCAAAATTATTGCAAATTTTAAGACACCAAAAAACCACCTACTTCTTACAATTTCAACCATAGGCAACCCAAAATACTCTCTTTTCTCACCACGCCGCCATCACGATTATTACCAAGCGCAACTCAACCCAATATACAGTGATATCACTCCACTATCGATTCGACATTGAATACGTACTCGCCATTAAATCCTAAACCTGTTGATAACAACAAAAAACTCTCTCACTCGCGTGATGCACGCATGCCGAATTGATAACACCCGAGCGTATTACATAATCCTTACATGACCTGACGCGCGCTGTTTTGGCAACACGATCATCTGCGCTATCAATCTATCAACGTGCAATCACACGTTACGCGTCCTCTCTTAAACGTCCACACACACTCGATCCGTGTGCGTATGGTGTGATCCGTGTCTCTGCACACACGCGACGATCAACAACCGCCAAACCGGTATATTCGGTTTTTGTTTATTTCTTTGTTTGTTTGCGTCGCGTCGCGCCTTATTTTCTTCTCGACTGCGCGCCGCGTGCTATTTCCGCCGACAATGTCAGTCGCTTCTTCCGCTGACGAGCGAACGCGTCAGGATTACGATCGGGGCGAGGAGGAAGACAAAATGGACGCCATGAGCACCATTCAAAAGGAGCTGCGCGCACGCAAAAAGCAATCGATTAGGTAAAAAATTATTATTTATTTTGTGTTTGATTGTTTCATGTGCGTGATGAGAAAATGAACCAAGAGCGGAAATTAAATGATTGACGTCATGCGCAAACCCAAACAAGTTTCACATTCGATTGTTTTATTTCGCGTCGCGTCGGTAAAAATGGTATTTATGCGCGCACACCGAGCGGAATCGATTAGTTTCCATCCACGCTTGCTAAATAAACATCTCATCAACGCGTTTCAATATAATTTAATAATAAAACACGAAAATATTCGCGAAACACTCGGTTTATTGAAATAATATGAGGTGTGGTGTAACTTGGGTTGCCTATAGTCGCAACACACTTTAAACTTGCGTGTCCGGTGTTAGGTGTCAAGTGTATAACCTTGAAGACAAAAATCATTTACTGCTGCGCGTAAAACAATGAAATAATCCGGGTGTAGTTAGTGTAGAGTGCGATGTGTAATGTGTAACATGTAATATATAATGGCATTGTGCCAATAATAAACTACACGTTGTTGTTAGACTGTGTGTGTTGTAGTTATCGCAAGAATTAAAAACTAAAACTACACCGGAATGTTATCAGGTGTTGTTTTGGCTGCTAATGGTGATTAGTGTAATTTGTGCTGCGGAAACCGGTTAGATGTGCAGCGGAATCGTAAGAAAAACGCTTCCTGAGGATGACGGTGTGTTGAAATCGTGCGGACCAATCAGCGCGCTGTATATTCTGATCATACGATTGTTGCCATAGCAACGTCAACAAACTTCTCGGGTGTAGTACGCATTCAAAATGGCCAACACGTTTTCAAATTACTCACTTACTCGCGTTGTAATCGTTCATGGCTTGATTGATTGATTTATTTGCAATGGCGACGTTTATTGGCAGCAGTTAGTCTGTCGACTTTCACCTTCGCACATCGCTGGCGCGTGTAGTGTGTGTGCAGCAGGTGAATTTCGGCGTCGCAAACCCAAACAAGTTTCACATTCGATTGTTTTATTTCGCGTCGCGTCGGTAAAAATGGTATTTATGCGCGCACACCGAGCGGAATCGATTAGTTTCCATCCACGCTTGCTAAATAAACATCTCATCAACGCGTTTCAATATAATTTAATAATAAAACACAAAAATATTCGCGAAACACTCGGTTTATTGAAATAATATGAGGTGTGGTGTAACTTGGGTTGCCTATAGTCGCAACACACTTTAAACTTGCGTGTGCGGTGTTAGGTGTCAAGTGTATAACCTTGAAGACACGAAAATCATTTACTGCTGCGCGTAAAACAATGAAATAATCCGGTTGTAGTTAGTGTGGAGTGCGATGTGTAATGTGTAACATGTAATACATAATGGCATTGTGCCAATAATAAACTACACGTTGTTATTTGACTGCGTGTGTTGTAGTTATCGCAGGAATTAAAAATTAAAACTACACCGGAATGTTATCAGGTGTTGTTTTAGCTGCTAATGGTGATTAGTGTAATTTGTGCTGCGGAAACCGGTTAGATGTGCAGCGGAATCGTAAGAAAAACGCTTCCTGAGGATGACGGTGTGTAGAAATCGTGCGGACCAATGAGCGCGTCGCAAATCGTGATCATACGATTGTTGCCATAGCAACGTCAACAAACTTCTCGCTGTAGTACGCATTCAAAATGGCCAACACGTTTTCAAATTACTTACTTACAATCGTTCATCGCTTGATTGATTGATTTATTTGCAATGGCGACGTTTATTGGCAGCAGTTAGTCTGTCGACTTTCACCTTCGCACATCGCTGGCGCGTGTAGTGTGTGTGCAGCAGGTGAATTTCGGCGTGCGCGCATTTCGTGCGTGGCTGCGAACGCGAGCGGTTGTTGTACTCTTTGATTGAAAGAAAGAAGAAAAAAAAACAGTGCGTCGTGTTATTGGTGGTTGCCATGTCGAAACAATTGAATCGCCGCAATAGTAAACGCTTCGTCATCGGCGACGAGGCGACGTTACTCGACTGCGAGAATATTAATATTACTGTTACACCCACGGCGGAAGAAGCGCTTGAGGATGGCGTCGGTGGTGGTTTGCATCAACTTGTTGAGGAGGATAATGGCCGTCCTCGCGAGGAAGACAACGGGGGGCGGCTGTCCTGGATGATTCAACAGGGAAGGTTACTTACACCGGGTGTTTCATTAACGTAAGAATCTATAGAAAATAGAAAAAATGTGTATAATGGGTTGCCTATGTTGTATATGATGTAAAACTGGTTGCATAACAATTTTTGACATTTAAGTAAAAAATAAAAAAATGTCATTATGTAATATTTTCTAATGTTTAATGCATAATTTTGTAATGTCTGGTTGTTTTTCTAGGCCGAGCATGTCGCAAGGCACCGTCATCATGCCGAACCGCCTACAGGAGAAGGATTTCACAGTGGCGACGCCCGAAGAGTTCGTGCGCCGCTTCGGCGGCACGAAGGTCATTAACAAGGTCAGTCACAACGATAATCGCATGTAATTACGAGCGCTAATGGCAATTACACGCGAAAAATTACATTTACCTGCCAAAACCATCATCTAACGTATAAATTTCTATTTGTTTAAGGTTCTAATCGCTAACAATGGCATCGCCGCCGTGAAATGCATGCGATCTGTGCGTCGCTGGTCGTATGAGATGTTCAAAAACGAACGCGCTGTGCGTTTCGTCGTCATGGTGACACCGGAAGACCTCAAAGCCAATGCGGAGTACATCAAAATGGCGGATCATTATGTCCCAGTCCCGGGTGGTACTAATAATAATAACTATGCGAATGTCGAGTTGATTATCGACATCGCCATTAGATGTCAGGTGCAGGCGGTGTGGGCCGGTTGGGGTCATGCGTCTGAGAATCCAAAACTGCCTGAATTGTTGCATAAAAATAATATTGCGTTCATTGGCCCGCCGGAGAAAGCCATGTGGGCGCTGGGGGATAAAATCGCCTCGTCGATTGTTGCGCAAACCGCGGATATTCCTACGCTACCGTGGAGTGGGTCTGAGTTGAAGGCGCAGTATAGCGGGAAGAAGATTAAGATCTCTTCGGAGTTGTTTGCGAGAGGTTGTGTGCATTCGGCGGAGCAGGGTGTTGCGGCTGCGCAGAAGATCGGCTTTCCGGTGATGATTAAAGCGTCGGAAGGTGGTGGGGAAAGGTATCAGGAAAGTTGATAATGCGGATGATTTTCCTGCTGCGTTCAGACAGGTTAGTTTTGTTTTTGTTTAAAATTATTTATTTATTAATTTTTGCGTTTAGGTGCAAGCTGAAGTTCCTGGCTCGCCGATTTTTGTTATGAAACTTGCCAAGTGCGCCCGCCATCTTGAAGTGCAGCTGCTCGCTGATCAGTACGGCAACGCCATCTCGATCTTCGGCCGTGATTGTTCCATTCAGCGGAGACATCAGAAGATTATTGAGGAAGCGCCGGCTGTCATTGCGAAGTCATCTGTGTTTGAGGATATGGAGAAGGCGGCGGTGCGTCTGGCGAAAATGGTTGGTTATGTCTCGGCGGGTACTGTGGAGTATTTGTATGATACTTCAGGGCATTATTATTTCCTGGAGTTGAATCCACGTCTGCAGGTGGAGCATCCCTGCACGGAAATGGTGTCGGATGTTAATTTACCATCAGCACAACTTCAAGTAAGTTATAATTTATGGAAGTTTATTATGAGAGGTTAATGTAGTATGACAGGTTGTATATATTTTTATGTATAACTGGTTGCATAGGTTATAGGTTGCTGTAAAACTGGTTGCCTATCTGTTTTTAGTAATATGTTGTGTAATTTTGGTGCATAACTGGTTGCATTTTTTGTGTTTTAGATTGCCATGGGTTTGTCCCTCCATAACATTAAAGATATCCGCCTTCTATATGGAGAATCACCTTGGGGCAGCTCAGTCATAGATTTCGATCAACCACGACACAAACCCCAACCATGGGGCCATGTCATAGCCGCGCGTATCACCTCTGAAAACCCCGACGAAGGTTTCAAGCCCAGTTCGGGTACTGTACAGGAACTAAACTTCCGCTCATCGAAAAATGTCTGGGGATATTTCTCGGTGGCAGCTAGTGGTGGCCTGCATGAGTTTGCAGACTCACAATTCGGGCATTGTTTCTCCTGGGGCGAGAATCGCGAACAAGCCAGAGAGAATCTAGTCATTGCCTTGAAAGAATTATCAATTCGAGGCGATTTTAGGTTAGTACACATTATTTTAACCTAAATTCCCACCTAATATAACCTATAAATTTATTTTTAAAAATATTTAGGACAACTGTAGAGTATCTCATCACGTTACTGGAAACGAAAAGCTTCCAACAGAATAGCATCGACACTGCGTGGTTGGATATCCTGATTTCCGAGCGAATGCAATCGGAAAAACCCGATGTTATGCTCGGAGTCATCTGCGGGGCGTTACACATCGGAGATAAAACAATCTCCACCGCTTTCCACGAGTTTCAAACGTCGTTGGAACGCGGACAGATTCAAGGTTCGAACACTTTGAACAACACAGTCGATGTGGAACTCATAAATGACGCGTAAGTCACTTATTAATTACTATAACATAACCTATAAAACTATTAATGTGTTTTATATATAAATTAGGTATAAATATAAAGTGCAAGCAACAAAATCCGGCCCCAATACGTATTTCCTCGTCATGAATGGCTCATTCAAGGAAATCGAACTGCATAGACTCAGCGATGGTGGTATTCTCCTCTCGGTAGATGGCGCATCTTTCACGACGTACATGAAAGAAGAGGTTGACCGCTACCGGATTGTCATAGGCAACCAGACGTGCATCTTCGAGAAAGAAAACGATCCCACCTTGTTACGCTCACCATCCGCTGGTAAACTCATCGGTTTTCTTGTTGATGATGGTGGACATGTGGATCGTGGTCAGGCGTATGCAGAAATTGAGGTTATGAAGATGGTTATGACCGTGACAGCCAGCGAGGCGGGTTGCGTTTCGTATGTGAAGCGTTCCGGCGCTGTGTTGGACGCAGGCGCCATTATTGCCACGCTTGAATTGGACGATGCTTCGCTTGTGACTAAAGCACAGCTGTACACTAGTCCCTTCCCGGATATAGATGTATCGCATCCCTTGGCATCGGAAAAGTTGAATCATATTCATAATTCTTACAAGGTTATCTTGGAGAATACTCTGGCGGGATATTGTTTGCCGGATCCTTATAATGCGAAGCGTTTGAGGGAGGTTATTGAGAAATTCATGGCCACCTTAAGGGATTCTTCTCTGCCGTTGTTGGAGTTACAGGAGGTTATTGCTAGTATTTCAGGGAGGATTCCAGCTGCTGTTGAAAAGAAGATCCGGAAGTTGATGTCGCTTTACGAGAGGAATATTACTAGTGTACTGGCGCAATTTCCCAGCCAGCAGATTGCCAGTGTTATCGGTAAGAATTAAAAATAACTTAAAATTGTTTGTTTTAATCATATCTACGCCAGCGACATCTAGTGTTAAAAATGTGTATTATTTGTTTTTATAGATAGCCATGCAGCTTCGATGCAAAAACGCGCCGAACGCGACAATTTCTTCCTGGCAACCGAAGGAATAGTCCAACTCGTCCAGCGTTATCGCAACGGCATCCGTGGCAGGATGAAGGCGGCCGTGCACGACCTCCTCCGCCAATACTACAACGTCGAGAGTCAATTCCAACATGGCCACTACGATAAATGCGTGTCTGCGCTGCGCGATAAACACAAGGATGACATGACGCAGGTGTCCGCAACCATCTTCTCACATTCACAAGTCGCCAAGAAGAATCTCCTGGTAACCATGCTCATCGATCATTTATGGTCCAACGAACCAGGACTTACCGATGAATTAGCCGCGACGTTGAATGAATTAACTTCTCTGAATCGCAGTGAACATTCGAGAGTGGCGCTGCGTGCGCGGCAAGTGTTGATCGCAGCGCATCAACCTGCGTATGAGCTACGCCACAATCAAATGGAGAGTATATTCTTGAGTGCTGTAGATATGTATGGACATGAGTTCCATCCGGAGAATCTGCAGAAACTGATTGTTTCTGAGACGTCTATTTTTGATATCCTGCATGATTTCTTCTATCATACGAATCGCGCTGTTTGCAACGCTGCGTTGGAGGTTTACGTACGGCGTGCGTATACAAGTTATGATATTACTTGTCTGCAGCATGAGGAACTCAGCGCGGAGGTTTCCCTCGTGCATTTCCAGGTTAGTTTTATACATAACCTCAATTTTTATCTCTTAAAAGTTAATATTAACCTATAAATTTATGTTTTTAGTTCTTATTACCTCCATCACATCCAAATCGTCTCATAAAACTAGACACAATCAAAGAAGACGGTGAGACAGTCAAAATCTTCGACTCTTTCCAACGTACCGGATGCATGGCGGCGTTTGAAAGCTTCCAGCAGTTTGAATCCTACGCGGATGAAATCTTCGACCTCATTGAAGACTTCTCCAGCCCTGCAACAATCAGCGCCAAGGATTTAAACATGCTGGAAAGCGGAAGTGATTCCCGAACGAATTCCACAAGTATAAATGTAAGTCTATCTGTGGATGGACAACGCAGTAGTCAAGACGACGAGAAACTCCAGGAACCCATTCATATCCTACACGTGGGTGTGAAGGATAAAGGCGACGCGGACGATACCACCATGTCGCAGATCTTCGGCAGTTTCTGCGCAAGGCATAAAAGCGAGCTGGAAGCGCGCGGAATTCGCCGGATTACATTCGCAGCGTTGAAACACAAGCAATTCCCGAAGTTCTTCACATACCGCGCGAGGGATGGATATAAAGAAGATCGCATCTATCGCCATCTTGAACCGGCATGCGCATTCCAACTGGAGTTGAATCGCATGCGCACGTACAACCTCGAAGCCCTACCCACATCCAATCAGAAGATGCATTTGTATTTAGGTAAAGCTAAAGTCGCCCCGGGGCATGAAGTGACAGATTATCGCTTTTTTATCCGGTCGATCATCCGGCATTCTGATTTGATTACGAAAGAAGCTAGTTTTGAGTATTTACAAAACGAAGGTGAGCGTGTATTGTTAGAGGCAATGGATGAGCTTGAAGTGGCTTTCAGTCATCCGCAATCACGACGCACGGATTGTAATCATATATTCTTAAACTTCATCCCTACGGTTATCATGGATCCCAGTAAAATAGAAGAGGCTGTCACGTCGATGGTAATGCGTTATGGTCCGCGTCTATGGAAGCTGCGTGTATTGCAAGCGGAACTCAAGATGATTATCCGCGCAACTCCGAATTCCCCAACAACGAATGTCCGTCTTTGTATTGCTAATGACAGCGGATATTACCTAGATATTAACATGTACACAGAATTAGTGAATCCTGACACAGGTATCATCAGATTTGAAGCCTACGGGCAGAAACAAGGACATCTCCATGGTCTGCCCATATCCACACCGTACCTGGCAAAGGATTACCTCCAGCAGAAGCGCTTCCAGGCGCAGCAAGCAGGTACGACTTACGTGTATGATTAGATTCATGGTCGGAGATTATGCAACCATGGGCACAGACTGTGGTCACAGGTAGAGCTAGATTAGGAGGTATACCGCTAGGTGTGATTGCTGTGGAGACCCGCACGGTTGAACTGAACCTCCCCGCGGATCCCGCTAATCTTGATTCGGAAGCCAAGACTGTCAGTCAGGCGGGTCAGGTGTGGTTCCCGGACTCTGCGTATAAAACAGCGCAGGCTATCCAGGACTTCAGCAGGGAGGATCTTCCTTTGATGATTTTCGCCAACTGGCGAGGGTTTTCAGGCGGGATGAAAGACATGTATGAGCAAATTATGAAATTTGGCGCTTATATTGTCGATGGACTCCGGAAATACACGAAACCCATCATTATCTATATACCACCAAATGGTGAGTTACGAGGTGGGGCTTGGGCTGTGGTTGAACCATCCATCAACAGTAGATACATGGAAATGTACGCGGATCCCGAAAGCAGAGGAGGTGTGCTTGAACCTGAAGGTATCGTTGAGATCAAATACAGGAAGAAGGATTTGTTGAAGACCATGCATCGGATTGATGCGAAATTAATGCAGTTGGATGATAAACTAAGGATGATGACGGTGAATGCTCAGGCGAGTGTGGATATACTTGAAAGAAGAGGGAGTATCACCCAACCACCTGAAAGGAAAAAGACACCGGAGATGATGGAGGTTGAGAAGGAGATTAATGAAAGAGAGAAGTATTTACTTCCGATGTATCATCAAGTTGCGGTGCACTTTGCGGATCTGCATGATACACCGGAGAGGATGCACGAGAAGGGGACCATTTTGGATGTGGTACCATGGAGGAAATCACGCTCCATTTTATATTGGCGCATGCGTCGGTTGCTTCTGCAAGATTGTGTGATTACACAGCTTTTGGAAGCTAATCTTGAATTGGGTATAGGTCAGTGTGAAGCCATGCTGCGACGATGGTTTGTTGAGGATAAAGGTGCTTCGGAGGGTTATAAATGGGAGAATAATGAAACAGTTGTTGATTGGTTAGAAGACCAGCTGAAACCTGATAATACTAATTCAGTCGTAGCGAGGAATTTGCATGCTGTCAAAAAAGACGCTTTGATACAACGTATCAGGAATAATTTAGAGGTTAGTTTTGTTTTTAAATTGTATAATGCGTTTAAAAATATTTATTTTTTGTTTTTTTAGGATTGTCCTGATGTTGCGCTGGATGCAGTCGTGGAAATCCTCCAGAAACTCAACGACAATCAGAAGGCGGAGGTGATACGCACGCTGTCACTCGTCCAACCGGAAGCAGAGTAGTCTATCTATATCTCTAATGCGTTTATTTTTTAACTTTGATGCGATCAGTTAAGATAGGCAACCAACACAACGTGTTTCCGCACCGGAAGCCAGTTTGTTATTTGTTATTCGTTGGCGCTCCGGTGTGGTTGTAGAGTATTTTGACAGTCACGCGCGTGTGGTTATGAAATGATCGGCGCGCATGCGTTTTTTTAGCATAATTGTACAAATGTTGTAGGTTAGGTAAGTAGGGCGAATTTTAAGGCAGGGATTCTTAGAATGTAAGAGCTACTTATGAGTGGGGCGGTACAAAAATGGTACAAACTTAAGCACGAAGACATTCCTTTTCGAAACAAATATCATTGTGTAATAATTTATCCTGATTTCCTGTTTTGTGTAACACTTTGTATAATGTGTGTTGCAGTAGTTGTGGTGTCGTGAATGAGATGGCACTGGAAAAGTTCTTAACAGGAGATTTGAAGGGTTTGTTTTATAGTTTGTGGGAAGTGAGTTGCCAAGTTGCATTTTAACAATTTTAAATTGTTCACATTTATCGAGAACAGGGATATTTATTTATCCCTTTATTAAATAATTTTAAAATAATTAATTTGGTTATGAATCAAATGTTTAAAAATTTTTATTTTTTCGCTTTTGAACAAATTGCGCTAAGAGGGTTGTACTGTGTTTTATGGTCTATAGGTGTCGCTACGATGTCCGTTTTGCAGTGGAGTATACAGCGTACTTAAGGCGCTAGTTGTGCACGCTGAAGGTCACAGTAAATGCCGCAGCGCAATTTGTTTGCATGCGACACTGATAGATGCGCGATGTGCTCAGTTCCGCGCCGGCTATCGTTGGGTTGGCACGCATTGCTCGCGACTCTTAACATTTCTCGCGATTTTAATTCGGTTATCGCGTTATTTTGATCAACAATCGCTTGGTTTTACTTGTAACAAACGTGTATAGTGTGTTATTACGGATTAATCGGGTGTAGAATGTTCACAGCGACTTTATTTTCTGATCCCGCGGTTGTCGCGTGCCGTCGGTTGATGTTTGCTCTGGTGAACATGTGCGTTATGTTACCATTGATAATATCGAGTTGTAGAAAGTTACGTCGTCCGACATGGAATCAGGAACATGATGTTCATAAGATTTGCGTTTTGGGTGAGATGCATTTTACTGATAATTATGTGTAGATCTAGTTTATGATTTTTATTGTGAACTGTTTTAAATTATTTCTTCATTTTCGGATAGCGTAAATTCTTTTTTAAGATGTATTATTTCTTTGCTTTTTAAACTTGCCATGGAAAACAGGTAATATTTCGTCCGTTAGTGGTATTTTTCGCGTTTTGTTCCGTTTCTCTCTATCCTTTTAGTTTGGATGCAGTATTCGCTATCGAAAATCGTCGAAAAAAGTATCAAAATTATATTGTAAATTTGTGTGTGTATGTATGTAACCAAAACAACTTAAGCTGCCAGTATATTTATTGTTTATTGTACAAAAATTAAATGAATATCATTTATTAAATATACTAGTTTGTTTCGTGTATGACTTTTCGTTGTGCCAATTTCATTTGCAATATCAACCTTGTTGCATATTTGATAAATGTGTTTTAAGAGTTGATAAATATTTGTACACCAAGGTTGGGTGGCGCTTTGATGCTTACGGTTTTGCATTAGTGACCGTTTATTTTAGAAGTGACTAACTCCGTTTTCAAATTTTTCGGTTACCATGGTTGCATGCGGTAGAGCGCACTTTAGGGTTGCTTATATTCAGAGAAAATACGGAACATTTTACATAAGTTTCCAATTGAATTGAGATAACTGAGCCGTGCAGTGTGAAGTGGGACCATATATCTAAAGTGCGAAGATTAAACGAATTCAGGGAAAGATGTACAGTCAAACCAGGTATTGTTCCAAGGAAAAAATTTCGAAAATATAAGATTGTGGTTGTCGGAATGCGTGCAAAGAAGTCTGATGAAGGAAAGAAGAAGAATATTTTTGAGAAGTTTAGGGGTTTGGCTTGGTTTTAAGCAAACCAAAGATGTATTACTTCAAAGCTGTCTATGAAACGAGACGTTTTGTTTTTCAATTTAAGTACATCTTAAATTATGTTGAATGGACTTGGGCATCTCGGAATTTTACCGTATAGTCTATTATTGTTAATTTTGAAATTTATTTAACTCCATTCTTGATAAGGAAACGCACGCGTTATTTACTTAATAATTTACTTACTATTTTAACAAGGACTTTCAGGTTTAACATCCTTAGATACGCTTAAACAATTATGACTCCTTTGTATCTTATACGTATGTGCCAGGAAAATTCAGAACGACACCAAAACTTTCCAATATCTCAGTTTGAAGATAAATGGAGTTAGGCCACTTTCAGAATGAGCGACTCCAAATGGCCCTTTGTTGGTGGTAGTGGAAGGTGCACACCGTGTCCGGCGTGTGGATCGATTTCATGAGATAAGTTTGTTTACCAATGAGTATCAGATCTTTTCGTGGGTCGAAACTACGCCACGTTGCTGCTTATTATATAGCGTCGTAGTATTCTTCCAATTCTTTCATATAGATATAACTAACAATTTTATAATGAATTCTAATACATTTTATTATGTGGCAGATAGAATTTACAGGACTAATGTCATGTTACCCAGGTAAAACGAAACGATGCATGTTCAAATTAAATATCACTTAAATATTTAACGTAGAGATCTGGCAATCTGTCGAAGCATAAGAAATCAGGGAATTACTCAAATCCAATTTTAATTTTTGTGCCTTTTACTAAATCTAAATTTTGGAAACTACACATGTTTTATAGATGGCAATAGCATGGACTAAAATTGTAAAATAAACATTTCCTGTTTATCTAATCCACGGTTTAGGCTAATAACTGACTACAAGACTTGTAACGTTTGAAGACACAATATTCGCACTTTCTTATCCGCATTGCCGTGTGTCGTCGTTTGCCAGCACCTCCACACTTACCCATGTTGCTGCATCTGGTTTAGTTTGATCAGGTAAGGTACAATGGGCGCCGTGGCGCTTTCCGCTGTAATGCGCTGAAGCGCCTCGTGGTTGTACGGTTTTGCGGCCAGTTTCATTTTCAGTCTCTAGTTTGGTTCAGACGTATTTTGGTGACTCCATTGTCGTTTATGGAACTTCTCCTTTCCAATTCCTAAGTATTATATTCTGATCATCAACATTTCTTACTTCGCAAGTGTACCATTTGGACATCAGACTCAGCTGCCGACCCCGATTTACGTTTAACTATCCTATCTTATGGAGAATGGTCCAAGCCAGATTAAGGCCTTTCTGATGGGATCTTAATTATCTTTTAGTTTACGAGGATATTCACGATTAGAAAAAGTCTGACAAGGGGTGAAAATGCAATAAAGCGCTTTGGCGCTTTCAATTCGCGTTTTCGACCTTTTTACTATTGGAAATATAATTATTTTATGTTTTGTGATGAAATTTTCACAGTCTCTCATAATCAACTTAAAAGATTTCCTTGGATGATATCGGCTTTTTAATTTAAAGAGATATGAATTGTAGAAGAATCTAAATCCAAAGAAAAATTATCAAAGCTACCTTAATGATTTTTCTTAAGACGAAAATTTTATATCTTGAATTTCCGTTTTGCTTTCTATCTTATAGAGAATGGTAATGGATTAAATTAGCAGTGGATCACCAATTATCTCTACTTTGAGATATTCACAGGAAAGAATCGACGAAATTGAAAAATGTCATACTTTAGCACTTTCAGTCGCGTTTTGACCTTTTACTGTGGAAATATAGTTATTTTATATGTATCTGATGGGGGAATTTTCCAATCTTTGTAATCCAGTAAGTCGTTGGTTACACTATATCGCTTTTAGTTTTAGGAGATATTAATTGTAGAAATCGTCGAAAAAAGAAATTATCCGAGCACCCTTTATAGCCGTTTTTATTTAAGAATGAAAATTTTATCTCTTAGATTTCCCGTTTTAACTATCCTATCTTACTAGAAAATAGTCCGTAGATTAAGACGCTGCGATCAGATCTTGTTAACCCTCTTTAGTTTGAGATGCAGATTGAAAAAAATGGGCAAAAAGAGTGAAAATGTCGCTTTTAGCACTTTTTAGTGCGTTTTTCGACCCAACTTTGCTACTTAGGAAATGTGTTATTTTTATATTGGTATCTGATAAATTTTACCAATCTTTTAATAATCAACAAGTCATTCATTACTATTGCTTTTGAGTTTAAGAGATTAGTGTGAAAATCGTTGAAAAAAAGTATCAAGCACCCCCCTTAGCAATTTTTCTTAGAGGTAATTTTATATATAGATTTCGTTTTAACTATCTATCATGTAGAGAATAGTCACTTAGGTGTTAGATGCTGCAGTCGATCATGAAATTTGTCTCTTTTGGTTACGGGATATTCACTTGATTGAAAGGAAATGGGCAAAAGTTTTAAATGTCACTTTTAGCACTTTTGGTAGCATTTTCGACCTTTTACTGTAGGAAATATTGTTATTTTTATATTTGGTACATCTGATAAGGGTGCCAATCTTTAATAACCAACCAAGTCGTTTCGTTACTATTGCTTTGAGTTTAAAGGATATTAATTATTGAGAAAATCATTTGAGAAAAGTATCAAGCACCCCGCTGACGAATTTTTTACAAGATGTAGAAATTTTATTTCTCCAGTTTCTGTTTTGAACTATCCCATATCTTATAGAATAGTCCGTAAATTAAGATGCTAGATGAATCTTAATTATCTCTTTTAAGTTTACAAGAGATATTCACATTAAAGAAAATTGTCAAATTGAAAATTTACTGCATTTTGGTACTTTGTCTACGTATTTAATTGACAATATATGTACTGCGGCATACAGCAGTGAAAACATTAATTATTGATTATGGTAGCCTTAATTGTATGGGACTAATTGTCTGTCGCATTCATAGGTGGCTTAGGATGCACTAAAATCATAAAATCAAGGTATACTGAAGCATTTTTATATTTGTGTCATTAAACGGTAGACTTTGAGAATAGTTTTGTATGCAATGCTGTTATCTGCGATTCGGTGTAAACAAGCGTTTTTAACGCATGGCTGTCCCACTTGCCTGTCTCCTGCTTTTGCCACATCTACTTACTTGGTGGCGTCTAGTTTAGTTTGAATCACTGGTAACGTGCCAATTGCAAATTCGCGCACTAGGGTTACGTGCCTTCGACGCTTGCTGTCTTTGTACACTTCTTACTTTCTTATCATATACTATCCGTCGTTGTTTACACATAGTTTTGGACATACACTATCAATTTGAATTGCAGCCAGTTTCGTGCCGATTCGCGGTAATCCAGTCGTGTTTTAGAGGG